GCGTTTGTGGGCACTTCACTGTCCGCAAGCTGCTGCTCTCAGGACGGGCCGGACAGGTGCCTTTCGCTAGGATTCCTGCTGTGTCAGCATGACCTTGTGGTTTTAGTGACGCTAATTCAGAGGTTCTCAACCTGTGGGCCTGGACACTTTGGAGGGTGAAAGACCCTTTCACAGGGGTCAGCTAAGACTTTCGGGAAACACATACGTTTCTATTACGATTCATTAACAGTAGCAAAATTACAGTTATGACGTAGCAACGAAAGTAATTTTATCTTTGGGGGAGGGGGTCACCACACCATAAGGAACTGTAGAAAAGGGTTGCAGCTTTAGGAAGGTTGAGAACCCCCGCTCTCGTGGCTTATGGTATTACAAAGAAAACTATTACTTGGAGGAAATGAAGATGACGTAGGCAAGTACTTGTGCCCCTTCCACTCTTGGCACTCAGGTGGCTGCAGGGTCCACACCATCCTGCAGCCATCAGCTTCCCGCTGTGACTGTCTAGGGCATTTGTCTACTCCGCTCACACTGACCGCTGGCATGATGAGTTCTGATGCATTGGCTGTGCCGTGGTCCTGTTGAGGGTTACTGACTTTAAGGGGCCGCTGTAATTATGGTTCCCCCTCTGCAAAGGGACCCCTTCCGTTTCTGTAGGAATGTGTAAGTTCCATAACTGATGATTGTGTGATGTTTGCAGCTAGGTAGTAGCTACCATTTCGTGTCAGCTGTGTACCGGTCTCTGGGCAGCGCTTTGTAGAAATGCCAACTCTAGGTCCTATGAGAGATATTATCTCCATCTTAACAGATCGAAGACACGCGGCTGGGCCTGGTCAGTGCTTTGTCTGGCACTTGGTAAGCAGAACGAGAGCGGTGTTCTGGTCTAAAAATGTTGCACCTTTTGCTCTGTGTCCTACGCTACCGTCCCAACGCTAAAGTCAGACGACTCTCAGTTCTCAGAATTAGAAACTGGAAATTACACGGCCTCAAGGTTAACTTCAGGGTTGTCCGAGAAATTAACCTTGAAATTGTATGTCATTTCAGAGTTGGTAACCTCTCTCCTTCCGTTTACTCGTGCCTACCTCGGCATCCATGGACGGTTGTGGTGGAGGGAACCTGTCTGTGTGTTCAGTTCGTGGGGGCAGGGTTATTTCTTAGAAATCTCTGTAATGTATGTCCTTCTGTGTTCGCTTTAGCTTCAACAGAAGATACTGTTGAAAAGCCTGGGCCCCTGAATCCAATCTCAATTGGCATTCAAACCTCAGTGCTTACTGACGGCACCACTCTGGCTCCCTGTCCTCACTGTTCAGTTAGTCATAAAATAAGTGTGTCAGTGTGCAAAAGCTTGAGACGATGTGATGAAATAATCCATGCAAAGGTTGTCGGTGGCGATACGGTAAGCCCTATGGGAATTCACTGTTGGCTGGTGGCAACACTACCCGAGTAGTGACTAATGTCACTGAAACACCGTGCTGTGCTTAAATACATGACCCTTAGGAGAGAGTCAGGCCTAGCAGCTACAAGAATAATGAAAACCCTTTTTGAGCCTTCTAAGTTATTTGGATGCTTTCCTTTGAAAAGTACTTTGTATAATTTGTAAATATAAATTTATCTTAGAGGGACTGAGGAAATGTTAATCCCAGCACAAGAGCCCGATCCTGGCCACAGCATGCATATAGAAGGTTGGGCAAGTGTGTTGGGTATGCTTGTAATCTCGGACCTTGGGTGTGAGGAGAGGTAGGTCCCTGGGGCTGGTTGGCCAGCCAGGCTAGCCTACCTGGTGACATAGACCTTATCTCAAAAAAACAAAAAACAAAAAAAACAAACCAGGATTGGCATTTTTGAGGAATTATACTGAGGATGGATGACCTCTGGCTTCCATAGGCATACATACAACACACACACACACACACACACACAAATAGATAAGATAATAAGGGGGTGGTTTTTGTCAACTTGACATAAACTAGATCATCTGCAAGGAAGAAAGCGCAACTGAGGAGCTGCCTCCATCCGATTGGCCTGCTGACAAGTCTGTGGGGCCTTTTACTGATTTCTAATTGATGTAAGAGGGCTCAGCACACTTTAGGTCTTGCCAGCCCGTGGTCAGGTGGTCTGAGGTGTATTAGAAAGCAAACTGAGCCATCCACGGAGAGCAAGGCAGTAAGCGGTGTTAGTCCATGGCCTTTGTCTCAGTTCCCGCCTGAGTTCTTGCCCTGGTGTCCTCAAGGACATGAAAGTGTGACCCAAAGAGATCCTTCCCTCCCCAGGTTGCTTTTAGTTAGTTATTTCACACTGAAAGACAAAGAAATGAGAAGAGAGAGCCGGGTGAGCAATCTCCATGGCATCGGCATTCAGAAAGCAGTGGTTTGGGCGCTTTTCTTAGTGCCCCCATCGTGGACGGAAAGTGAGTCCCTCCAGGAACTCGTAGCCGCAGCCTCACATGTTCCTAGCAATTGCTTTGCGCCTTTGAAATAACGCCGACAAGAAGCCCTGTTAAACTCACCCTGACAGTCCTGCTTTTCTCTGGGCGCGTTGTCTGTCCTGAGCTGCTCAGCTGCTGTGCAGAGTCTCATTGTCTGTTTATTGACGCGGAGGAAACCAAAGGACAGTCCTGTGGGCAGCTTTGCTCTCGCTGCCCAGGGGGTGTTGAAACCTGTGAACTCTAGTCTAGCTCTAGAGCTAGCTGAAGAGCCGCAGGGAAGGCTATGTTCAAGAGTCTTGGCCCAAGCTCCTCCTTATGCACCAGCTCGCCTTGAGCCGGGAGAACAGGGGCTGGGTAAGTTCGCCCACCTCTGTGTGCTCTGTGTGTTTACCTAGAGGCCGGGCATGATGCTTAGGGGTTGAGTTCTTGCCTTCTGTTCACAAGGCCTTGAGTCAGTCCCCCACTTCTTCTTTCTCTCTCTCTCTCTCTCTACCTCCTCTTCTCCTTCTCCCCCTCTCTCTTACACACACACACACACACACACACACACACACACACACCCTAGAAATTAAGTTGTAACTGAGGATTTGAGAGAAAGCTGTGTTTTTGAAGAGCGCCAGATTTCTGGAGCCCTCTGCGATGTTCAGAGAACATGCTTAAACCCATCAAGGTCATCTATGTTTCCCAGCCATCATGAAATAAAAGGAGAGCATTTAGCTTGGGAAGAAGAGAGCAGACAACTCTAGCACAATAGTTGATCTTAAAAGGAAATGATCTGAAAAGAAAGGTCTAACTTTGTAATTGCAGATTCAAGGACAGACTTGATGTTTCCCGACTGACCAGGACCTTCAATGCCATAAACAAGAGATGGGAGTTTGAAAGTTAAATTCATTCGATGTGGTCAGGCGTTCTGTTGTATTAGAGTTCTGCTTTTTACAATTCCAGCAGAAGCCTAGAAGGTGTTAAAGAAGTTATGGTTCTTCGCATAAGAACCATAACCAGCGCTTCAAGACAGGCTTTCTCTGTGTAGCTTTGAGGCCTGTCCTGGAACTTGTTCTGTAGACCAGGCTGGCCTTGAAACTCACAGAGATCCTCCTGCCTCTGCCTCCCGAATTAGAAGTTATATTTAAGAGCCTTTTCCCCACACACATTTTTTGTGGTTCTGTGAAGCAAATCCAGGCCTTCACGCACACGAAACACACACTTTTCTGCTACACTCCCACGGAGCCGTGTAGAGCGGGCCACAGTGAGATGAAATGGTGATTCTCAGTGCAGATAGCTGGCCCTACCTCCCGGAAGTGCTAGTCTAGAATCTGAGATGAGGTATATAGCTCTCAACTTTCATTGCTGCCGATGCTAAAGGTAGAACATTCAAGAATTTTCATTTGTAGTAATGAACACATATGAATGCAAGCCAAAAGAATATGTTTTTTCTTGAAATGTGATTTTGAGGTCAATTTTGGGTATAGATTGAGTTGGGTTAGTTCTAGGGTGAGCAGCGGTGCTTGGGTTCTATTAGTGAGCAAACTGCAGGATGGAGGTTTGTGTGAGAAGGCACTGGCTTCTCTGTTACATGGTGGAGGTTGAAGAAGATGGCTTGTTTTAGAATTTACCAATTATAATACTTGATATCAGTTGGCAGCTTTATCAATTATACTTTCATTTTTTAGTAAGCCATGCACACACACACACACACACACACACACACACTTGTAATAAAAAACTTACTACTGTGTCTCAGTAAATGTTTTTTTTATGATCGCCTGTGCCTTCAAAAAAATCAACACAATAAGAGAGTTAGATTTTCACTCATTTTAATATGCACTGTATTGTATGTATAGTGAATACTCAAGATGAACAGGCTTCTCCTTTATAGCATAACTGTTCCCAAAGTCAAGCAGGGAAGAGGTTTATGTGTGTTCTCTGTGCCAAGCACGCAGGAGGCTCCTTTCCAGATGCCGCTGCCGGGTCACATGGCGTTTCACCCTTCTGGTCCACGAAGCCGAGGCAACATTTTAGCAGTCCGCTGCTATCTATAGGCGCCGGGCTCACGTTTGTTGCACTTTATGCCAAATTGATCTCTGTGTGTGCCTCGATTTAGGAAACTGGAGAATCCGGTTTCCCTTTGCTGCCCACATGTCGTGAGTTAATCCTTCATGCCCAGCCTATGAGCTTATGTGCTCTGCAGTTGGCAAAGTCAAATCTCTCTTCAGGTTTTGTGGTTCTCACAGCATTTGGGGGTGACAACGGGGCTCCCCTGTTATATAAAAGCTGTTGTCGATCACCTGGCATACTCAGTTTTCTTGTGTTCTAAAGGGCCCCCCCCCCCAAGGATATACCCCTGTGACTCCTGTAAGGTCGAATCCAGCACGGTGGAGGAGATTCAGCACTGAACCTCAAGAGGCCGCATACACTGCTGTTGTTTTCTCCCTGCTGCTGCTGAGCTCGGCCTTCCAGCTCTTCATCTCCTGGCGGCTCACTCTTCTGCTGTGCCCCTGTGACTCCCCCTCCCACCCCCTGCCGTGTTCCCCAATGTGAGGGATGGAGCTCTAACCCTTGGCGGCTTTCTGCTCATTTGCAGAGCATTCACGTCCTGGAGAGGACCGCGTCATCAAGCACAGAGCCCTCCATCAGTCAGCAGTTCCTGGAGCCGGAGCCCATCCCCCTCTCCAAGGTCAGTGGCTGTGCCTTTGCTCTCACAGGTAGCCCAGTGCCCGCTCTGGGGCCAAATGAACTGTGACTAGCGTTGACGCCTGACTCTCTTAAAGTAGCTAACAGTAGGGCTTCTCTGCCTTTTTCTGCTTCCTGTGCAGGGACGTTGTCTGCCTTGTGTGAGCGGAGAATAGTAAGGACTCTATTTCCCTTGAATTTCCAGGGTTATATGTGAAGGTCTGAAAGTATTTTAAGGGACGAAATAAGGAAAACCATGGTTATTTCCTCTTGGAGAGATAAGCGAATAATTCTATGATTAATTAATGTGGGGGAAAACTTGTCAGCCCAGCAATCGCAGCGACTACCATTATTGCCCACGTACTGCATACTAGGTACTACACGAACTGCTTCAGTATATTACCACATTTGATATAGCTTTTATATTTATTACATTTAATGAATCCGGAAACTCAGGCTTAACCGTTTTCCCTAAGACAAAAACGTTGTTAAGTAGCGGGGTGACATACAAACTAGATTTGCCCGGTTCTGTAACCCATGCTGTCCGTCTCTACCTCCCTGCAAGGTCCAGAGGTGCCTCCACCAAGCGGCCATCACACACTGTGACTTCTGGCCTCCCTCCAGTGTCTGCAGTGACTCTGGGGAGAACAGGTACAGATGTGAACCCCTTTCTGTGTCATGGAAGCCAGAGTTCCTTCCTCTTCTGCCCGTCCTCCCTCAGATTTGGGAAGATGGAGCCCCCCAATACTCGTCCCCGCCCACGTGAGATGTTCACCGGACCAATGAACAGGTTCCCTAATGGGAAAACTCTGAAAAGAGAGTATATGCAAATTGCAGGTTCACATAAAAACAGATTTATTTCGTCAAGATGATTACTTATAAATGTGTACAGCTGATCCTGCCGCTTTGCTTCCTATACAGAGCCTCAACTATTAGGAAAAGAACATGCTACTATACTGCCCTAGTGTTACGGATATGCACACTTGTGTGTTTTATACTTTGGAAATGTTACAAGCTACAAAGCTTATTCTGTCAGACAGGTGTAGAAGAAAAGAATTATTAAACTATAAAAATAATTTTGAGAGGGCTGGAGAGGTGGCTTCACAGTTAAAGAGGCTGTGTGCTCTCACAGAAAAACAAGTTTGGTTCTCGGGACCCATATCTGGCAGCTGATAATTGCCCGTAATTCCAGCTCTAGGGGATCAGTTGCCCACTTTGGACTTCTCTGGACATCTGCATCTAAGTGGCATGCACACACGTGTGTGTAGTTGTATGCACATGCTTGCGCACACACAGTTAAAAATAAAAACATCTTTAAAAAATTTAAAAGTAAGAAGGACAGACTTCCATTTGAACAATAAGTAGAGACCACATACTTGGTAAATATGATCGTCATATCACTTTGAAATGTCCATCCTCTATAGCTAGTGAGAAGATGAGAAAGAATAGATGTGGGGAGAAGTTGCATCTACTTTGTGCCATACATTCTTGCAACCAGCCTCCAGATCATTAAAGTTTTATTGATTTCCTCATCTCCATATAATTCCTGCGTAAAGGTCTAATCTACTCCCTACCGCTTACCAATGCACAGCAGCTGGGGTGTGGGTCTGCTGACCAAAGGAGGGTCCTGCTAGGAGTACCAACAGCATTCGCTACCCCCGTGGCTTCTGCGCTTCCATTTGAATCTTACTATGGAACTAACAGACCTTTTCTGTTTGTTTATATGTTAGTACACGTGGACAAATCTGGGGGCTCCTAAGAGCTGCTCTACCCACCTAGGTACCACTGCATCTCACCACTTCAGAACCTCCTGAGAGGACACAGGCTTCCTGGGTACTGGTTGGTAGGAGCGCTTTGGACAAGGCATTGCCCTGGCTCAGTATTTATTAAATTCTTTGTTTTCAACTCTTGAGACATTTTTGCCTATCCCCACACCACCCGTAGACTAGCTTGTACTTTTTATACTTTGAAGGCATTACAAGCTACAAAATTTATCCCATCTCATCAAGAGTAGACCTCCAGTCCATGGAAATGGAAGAATTGTTGGACTATAAAAGAATTATTAAACTATAATTTAGAAGGGGGCTGGGGAGATGGCTCAGCAATTAGGAGTGCTGAGGTTGGTCAGTACTGACATGGGGCTCTTGGTTCTATTTTTGTTTTACATAGACTTAGGAAGAGTGGAGACTTGAGCCGAAAATAAATAATAACTGAAATTTCAGGAAAAATACACTGTTTGATTTTTAGAAAACTATTTTAATTTTCTTAGAATGTATCTAATTCACTAAGTGAGAAAGAGTGATGTCGGCATTGTGGAAACAGAATGCTGAAGGTTCTGTCCTGTGTAGAAATGGGTTGTTTCCTTTCCTACATATTTTATTTGTAACCTTATCATCCATCTGCATTTATAATTGAAACAGGTGGGGTTGTTGCTTGCCCTGCTTTTATCCTTTGCCTCTCTGTCAGCTTGACAGCTTACCTGATTGTTAGCACTGGATTACGAGTCTTTTCTGTTTCTTTTGCTGGACTCGGGAACATTACGCTCGCAGAAAAGGCACTGCTAGTTCGGAGTGCAGGGTTTCACTCAGGAAATAGACTAATTTTTGATCTGTTCTGTTTTTACCTGTTTCCCACTCTCCAGTTTGGCTCTCCCAAAAAGGAAAAGAAAACCATTCTAAGAGAAATCAGTAGCGGTAGCTACAAAAAGATGAGTTTGTGTTGCACCTAACTTTAATTAGTAAGGGGGAAAATTGTACTTGCTACTAAATGCTTCCATTTTTTCTTCAAAGTTTATTAAATTATGAAAGTTTCCATTTCCGCCCCTCCTCCCAACACCCTTCCTCTCCCCCCCCCTCCTCCATCCCTAAGAGCAGTCAGGGCTTCCAGCCCTGTGGGAAGTTCAAGTTCCTCCCCCCTCCCTCCAGGTCCAGGAAGGTGAGTATCCAAACAGACTGGATCCCAAAAATCCAGTATATGCAGAGGAAACAAGTCCCGGTGTCATTGTCAATGGCTTTTCAGAAAGGCTCCGGGCCAGCCACATTCAGAAAATCTGGTTGGATCACGTGCTCGTTCAGTCCCAGTCCAACTGGCCTTGGTGAACTCTCATTAGATCAGTCCCCTTGTATCAGTGGGTGATCGCACCCCTCGCTGTCCTGAGTTTTTTTTTTTCATGTTCTTCCTCCTTCTGCTCCTCATTTGAACCATGGGGGGCTCAGTCCGGTGCTCCAATGTGGGTCTCCGTCTGTATCGCCATCCATCGTCGGATGAAGGATCTATGGTGATAAGCAAAATCTTCATCAGTATGGTTATAGGCCAAAGCCGATTCAGGCACCCTCTCCTCTGTCCAGAGAACAATCCGGGGATCTCTCCTTGGACCTGGGATCCCATTTATAATCAAGTCTCTTGTAAACCCTAAAATGACTCCCTTAGTTGAGATATATTCTTCCCTGATCCCATATCCATCCTTCCTCCCTCCCCCCATCTCAGTCCCCCGAGTTTATGTCATGTAGAGATTCTCCATCAGATAGAGAGAGAGAGAGAGAGAGAAGGGGGCAAGGGAGGGGTCTTTTCTATAGGATGTAGAGAGAAATGTCTTTAAATATAACTCACACATTACTAAGGACAGAAGTCCAGGGACTATATTTATGCACATGGGAAGTTGTTCTTATTCTTAATTACTTAATTTTCATGGAATGCCACTATTCCGATAGGAGCAGGAAGCCAGAGGTCCTTGATGATTTCCGTCAGGAGTGCCTGCTTTCCTTGGTCTTCACGCTGTTCACAAATAGGGTTCTATTCTTGAGTTGCAGCCCAGTATTAAGAAAGAGGACTCCGGGGTCTCCATGTGACCTCCTGGGGTCATGGGATACTGCTACCTGTGCTTGCGTCAGCCAGAAATTACAGCATTCTACACAGCCCAAAGCTGTCTCATCAGAAACATTCTTATATCTAAGTAACAGGTCAATTGCAGCATCATTTGTTACATTGCTTTGAGACAGGGTCTCTCTATGTGGCCCCAACTGGCCTTGAACTCATGGAGATCCGCCTGCCTCTGCTGGGATTAAAGGCTGTGAGCCACCACCTGTGACTCAGATCAACCCCAGTTTCTGGCAGAATTGTCTTCAAGCAAAACCCATATTTTGAGGTGTTGCGCATCGCGGGAAGAATGCACAATGTTGCCAGCTGGGACACCCACAGGTCACAATGCATAGCTCATTCCCCAGAGGTCACTGTGGATGTGGGGAAATGGCAACACCTTTAGGGTCTTTCCTGAGGTGGGGCGAGGAAGCTGTGGGCTTGGGTTTAGGAAAGATGCAGGCTTGGTATTGGTTTTAGGCTTTTCAGAGAGACACACACATCATCTCTTGTGTTTTATCTCCTGACGAAACTTTGGAGAAAATTCCACCCTGGATATTGCATATTTTGGTTTGGCATAGATTAGACTTGGCCCCAAAGCAAGCAGCCTCTAGCATGAGGATAGGGAGAAAGAGATGGTGAACACAGCCCTCTTCACCCATGCCGTGTCCCGTATCTGTGCCCGGCAATGGGACCTCCTTTCCTGAGATTGACAGAGACTCATAGTTTGGTCTAGCCTGAGATACAGTGCTCCAACCATTCTCCTTCTGCCCTTCCATAAGGATCTAAGTAAAAGTCTTTTCAGAATGCAGTGACCCAATCAGCTGGGGGTGGGCCACTACGGAAGGTCTGTCCTGGTCCGCATGTCCACTCCCTGAAGCTGAGGCTGCAGAGTTGAGATGAGACGTCTGTTCTATAAATGCTGTTAACACTTCAAAAACAAAAACAGTACCATATATTGTAATATTAAGTTGGGAGTGTCACCCCAGCCCCTGGCCTGGAAGTTGCGTTGGTCCAGACTCCAACTCCCAGCCTGCCAAGCGCTGACCCCTCACCCGGGGAGGGTCAGGACCACTCCTACAGGGTATTTAGGCAGCCACCCAGAGAAGGAACACATGGTTTCAGGTTTTGTGGGCCACCCTGAGTGGGGCATTTATTAAACATGGGCATTTCTGATTCAGTCTAATCTGGTTTGATTGGAGTTCTTTGCACTGGTAGAGAGGCTCTGTTAGGAAATATTCCTAACATTTCTGAACAAAACATGTCTAGTGAAGGAAGAAATTGATTTAATCTGTTATCTAGCAGGAAGAGTGAGACGCTAGAACCAAGATACTTTGTTAAAATTTGTTTATTCTTGGGCTTTATTCTTGCTGTTGGAGAGATTGAACCTAGGGCCTCTGCGTATGCTAAGCACAGGCTTTACCAGTGGTCTAGGACCCGGTTCTAGCTGCACTCTTCGTGGGCTCCCAGGGAAACATGCCCCTTGGGAAGCCTGAACTTCTCGGTATGCACTGTTAGGTGAAGCTTTGGTGCACACTTTGATGCACAGGGCTGCAGTGGGGAGAAAGATAACCGCAGTGCTGAATAGGGGTATCAGCGGGTTGTTCCACACCGGACCCCAGCAACCTCTCCATTCCCGCACAGAGAGCCTGGTCTGCACACTGACTGAACATTTATCATCAGATGTCTAACTTTAAAATCCCTTTGGGATCCAGGATCATCAGGGAGGAAATGCATTTTAAACGCTCTGAGTGTAGGAAATCACAATTTCTTTCTGCTTCCAAGCAAACAGTGTCCCCAGTGCGCCTCTCCTGAAGTCTGCCTGCCTCCAGGTCTACCTGAGAAACTCATGGGAGCTTCATTTGAAAGTGTGTGACTTGTTTTGATGCTGCAATTAGCTCCAGAATGCCACTCATCCTGTTGTTGAGTCGAGGGCAGCATCAAAGGCGACTTTCTGCCTAGGGATCTCCTTAAATGTGTCTCATTAAGCCCAGAACACGAATGATTTGTTTTCCTTTTTCTCTCAGGAAGCTGACAGCTGGGAAATTATAGAAGGACTGAAAATAGGCCAAACCAATGTCCAGAAACCAGACAGGCACGAGGGATTTATGCTGAAGAAAAGAAAATGGCCTTTAAAGGGGTGGCACAAGGTAACTGCCTTCGGAATGAAGCTGAGAGCATCATCATAGAGCTCTGACTCGGTCCTAGGTGGGAAGCCAAGGTCACTGAAGCTTTTGAGTTTGAAATATTGTCTCGAAAACAAACAAAAACTAGCAAACAAAAGCCCCCGTAAGGGAGACGGGGAAGCCAGAAGAATCAAGGGAGGGATGGGAGAAGAGGAGAAAAGAAAACAAACTCTGTGTCACAGAGGAGAAACCTCTCTTCCGTTCCTCCATAGAATCCCTTTTGTTAGTCCCCTTGGGGACTCTCACGATAAGAGCAGCTTCATACTCTTGCCAGCTCTGTTACTGAACTTCATCTCAGAGTGGAAGGGTTCGCTAACCAAACGCTTGAGTAATGGCCACCTGCTGGCTCCAAGCACAGAGGTTATGGATTGCAACTTCCTTAAAGAAATAGACAGATGAGAAACGCCGACCCAACCTGTCTCCAGGGAAGGATGAAAGCCAGTCAAAGGGACTTCCATCTCATATAGCTTTCCCTTGTCAGAAACTCTCCCTCCAGCCCATAATATTACCCCAACACCAAGGACTTCCCTCCTCCCTTCTCCAATCTTCTAACTTTAATTTTGGCCAGCCAGTGATTCCTCCTAGGCCTGCCCCTGCCTGTCTGTCTCCTCACCAGTAGCCTTACTTGGCACTTTCTTATGACTTTCCTTAAGTTATTCCTGGCTAAACTTCTTTAGCAGAAACTTAAAATTGGGAAAACAGGCCATTTTAAAAAATGAATTGCTAGGTTCCATTTGGCATTCTGACCCCACTCAGCGGAATGGCTGTGGACTGCCATCTTTCTGGACTCTTTCTGGACCGTGTGTCTGGATATTTTGCATAAAGACAGGGAGAGCACCCACCCCACAGTGCTTTTCCTCCTCTCCCTAATACCGCTGTGCATTGATTAGGCAGCAGCCCATTTGAATGCCCACGTTATAGGCAATTGAATTGCTTGTTTAATGTGGCGCTTTTTTATTCTGGCAGGTACCGGTTTTCAAGAATCCCAGATACAGGGATGACAGTGGCCTTTTGTGAGTTCTAGGCAGGATGACTTTGGGGACCTGATGTTCCGCTGTCTCAGCAGCTATGAGTTCATGCGTCCCGTGAAAATGTTCCAGCAGAATAAATTCCAGCCACAGCAGGGTTTCCTACATGTGCAGAGCTGGAAGAGGGCCCACAGGGTGGCTGGCTCCCGAGAGCTGTTTGACTTTTACTGAATGGCCCACAGAAAGGAAACCAGTAGAGAGTTCTTCAGTGTTTGCAATTAAAAAATGACAAATCTACTCAGACTGTAGTAGACAGACCTCAGGGCAGCCAGTTGCCCACCCAACCTCCCTTTTAATTCTGTCGTTTAAGAAACATTTTTTATTTATTCATGTATACAATATATTTTGATCATTTCTACCCATTTCCTACCCAATCTTCCCCCACAAAGCACCCAGTCCCCCCCACACCAGAGTACCAACTTTATGTTCTTTTTCTTTTTCTTTTTTTTTTTTTTGTTTTCCCTGTAGCTTTGGAGCCTGTCCCAGAACTAGCTCTTGTAGGCCAGGCTGGCCTCGAACTCAAAGAGATCCACCTGCCTCTGTGTCCGGAGTGCTGGGGTTAAAGGTGTGCGCCACCACCGATCAGCTTTTTTTTAATTTTAATATATTTAATATATGTCTATTTCACTGGACCCTCTTAGTATTGCTCATGTACATCCCCTGGGGCCGCTGGCTGGAGCATGAGCTGTCTACCAACAGCCCCATCCCCAAAGAAAACGTGATTCTCCTTCCTTTGTAACCTTCAGCTACCAGCTAGGGGTGGAGCCCCCTTTTTATTCTTAATGTATCTTGGAAATAATATTTAATCTCTTTTACTAATATAGAAGCAGATTGCCAAGGAGAAAATACGTGCATATTGCCAAGGTCACTTAAACCTTGTAGGCAATTTACTAGTAACGGATACGGTATAATGGCTCCTGTAAGAGGCATGAGAAAGTTTAGAAAGTGTCCATGGTATCCAGGGGAGAAATCCGGAGTTTAGCTCCTTTCGTGCAGACTAGTATAGAAATCTTTACAGAATTGCCATGATCTCTCCAGGTTATTTTTTTCCTTATTTTTATAATGTCCTAATGCAGTTCGTTTATGAAGTCTCAGCTGCAGGTCCTTAGACCTCCCCATGGTGAAGACAGACCATGGTGAAAAGACCCCATCCCTAGCGTGAAATCACGTGACTAGAGCGCGGACCCACTGGCCTCACTTCCTGTGGCTGACCGTGGCCAGATGCACTGAGTCCATGTATCAGAGTCATCAAACACGTTAGCTGCTGAATGCTAAGCCGCTGGGAGCTGTGCTTGTGAATATTTGTGCAGTTCCGAGTACAAACAGTAACTAGGGCTGTTTGGTTCTTGCAGCGCTTTTTTGTCCTGGACAATGGACTGTTGAAGTACTCAAAGGCTCCACTCGACGTAAGTAGCTCCAAGGACACCATTCGCAGGTCCGTTTAGAATTCCCGCTTGAAGTGTGTAAACACTGTAACTGGGCAGGCTCTGTGCCATGGTCACCAGCTTCCTGCGTGTCTGTGCCTGTAATATTTAACAAGCCGCCAACTCTGCGGGTTCTAGAGCAAGTGTGCTTTGTGCTTGTACTCAAGATGGCACAAAACTCTCAAACTAGCGCATGAATATTTAACTGTTTTTTTAAACAGAAGTTTAAGCCTAAAAGTGACACACTAATAATATCACCCTTTCTCCTAGAGAGAAGATTCTGAAAGTATTTTTTTCTTTGCACTTTGAAATGAATTCCATGTTCTTTGCTTTTTGAGATTTAAAGCCCTCCTTGTTCTTGTCAAAGTTCTTTTTTAAAAACATCTATTGTACTTAACCTGTGTTCGTTCACCTTCTTGACTTGAGAACTCCAGCTCATTAAGACTACTCCAGACTGCTTCTGCTTAATGTCTGAGAAGTACTTTGCACGTGACTCTCCGAGTTTCTTCCTTCCCTCCTACCGTGGGGTGTAGGGCAATAAACTAAGGGCTTAGAATTAGTTTTGTCTGTGCCTCTGCCATGGAATCGGCTATGTCTGTGGTCAGCTAGGGACATCCAGAAGAGGGGGCAGGCTGCTCCCTGATCTCTGATCTCAGCTGCCCAACTCTGTGCTAGCAGCTGCCCTCCAGCTGATTCATGGGTGTTCTGGGTCACGGTTCAAACGTTGACTTCGGTTATTTTGGGACTCATTGGTGTTGCCTTTTAGAGGAGCTAGAAGCTAAGCAATCTGGATCGTGGAGAGCTGACATTACCATCTGTGCCCAAAATAGAGGCAGATGAGTAACGCTGCATGCTGAAATCGGTGTGGTCATGACAGCCCAACTGCCCTCAGACCTTAGCCACTTTCTCGTCATTAAAAAGAATGTAGTCACCCCCATAAGTGAGTTAAGATTTTCCTTGGGCTCACCTTAGTTCAGAACAGAGACACACCAGCCCGTATACCCTTCCAGCACAATTCACTAGTCTTTTGATTTCAGATCCAAAAGGGGAAGGTCCATGGGAGCATTGACGTTGGCCTGTCTGTCATGTCAATTAAAAAGAAAGCTCGGAGAATAGACCTTGACACGGAGGAGCACATCTATCACTTGAAGGTGAAATTGTCTTCGGCATCCAGTATTAGCCCGGGGGTGGGGGGAATGTGATTTGTCCCCGCCCGTGGCAGCCAGGAGACGGTCTCCACAGCTGTCTTCCCTTGCTTCCTGTTCCAGGTGAAATCCCAGGACTGGTTTGATGCTTGGGTCTCCAAACTGCGTCATCACCGCCTGTACCGTCAGAACGAGATTGTGCGGTCACCGAGAGACGCGAGTTTCCACATCTTCCCCGCAGCTTCGACAGCCGAGTCCTCCCCGGCTGCTAACGTTTCTGTTGTGGATGGGAAGGTATGACGTTGTGCTGCGAGAAGTCAGCCCGGAAACCGCTTAGAAATGTACACGTGCACGTCACTGTGTGTCCTTGAAAACGCCAGAAAGAGAAGTTTGATTTTGTAAGCTGACACCCAGGAGACAAGTGACATTGGCACTAGAGTTAATCACAAGATGAGCCAGACGCGTGAATCACCAAGCGTTTCCAGTTATTTTTCCTTTATAATAAGTGGACCGCACATATCATGTATGTGTGGCTTTTTTTAGGAATCTTGGGAGGTAGAGTAAACATTTGTTTAGACAACAGCTGGGAATTCTTGGGTAGTAATAAAGAGACCCCAAAGTTGTGAAAGCGAAGCTCATTGCTTTGAGCTACGATGTATACATGACCCAGGGAGAGGCTGTTCAGTACCCCCTCTCCCGGAGTTAATGCAGGTCAGCTGGAGAGGTCCCGTGGTATCGGTAGTGTTTCAGTGAGCAAGTGTGTTATGTATATGACGGTCCTTCCTCTCTAATCTGTTACAGAGACTGTGTTTGCATGCGTACAAGTGACATAGCCATCCTGAGATGTGGCCACACAGCTGTTTCCAAAGTCAGTACCTCCTGTCATTAAACCAAGAGCCAGACAGGAGAGTCTGTGGTTCCTTGGGTTGTATTAAGATTCCCAGTCTGTGTTGCAGAAAAGCTGGAGGTATTTCTTGTCTGAAAGTCAAGGTTACGGCAACAGGCAGGGAAGCAACTGTTTCCGTGTTTGATTCGGTCCATGGGCTGCATTGCATGGGGGTGTTGTGGCTTTATGCTTGGTACCTGAAACTGAGGCCAGAGAAGCTGATTGGGTTCAAAAACGTTTCAGTAGCTTGTCTGCCTTCTGTCTTTGCTTCTACAGGAGTCTCCACAATACCTAGATTATATAGTTTCCTTCTACATAGCATTGGAGAACTTTATTGAGAAACACCAGACCTAACCTGTCAAACTTAGTGTCATCTACCATGCTTGGCTTTTGTTATTTGATGGAAAATACTAGTGTATAAATTAAACCCACGGATTATATTTCACAAGGCACCCCGTTCTATGACTTCACTGTCGTTGCGTTCCTGCAGAAGACTGTCTGATGGCCTTTCTCCTAGGAGTGAGGGGTTGACGGAAACACTAACCAGTTCTGGGAATACAGAGAACAAGTCACGAGCTAGAGGGATTGGGGTTTGGGATCTCAGAGGTCCCCAAGATAGTCCCTGTGTTTCTCTGGGCTGCCTGAGTTTTCATCACAGGGTGGAATGAATCTGGGTTAGTCCCAACTTAATGAGAACTGCATCCCAAACAGAAAAAGAAAACATTAATTTTTAATTCTTAGGTTTTTCCAGTTTCGGCTGATATCCTTGGCACAAAGCATTGATAAAAGATGCATTATTTCTGTCCCTTGTCTTATTTATTAAATTACTTGGGTGATATCTGAGATTGGTGAACTGAAACCAAATCCTTCCCCTCACTGTTCGCTCTGGAATAAGACAACTCTCCAGCTCTGCTTCCCACAAAAGGCCCGTTTCTCCAGTTGCCAGTGGCATGGCTCAGAGCTTAGATTACCTGGGTGATTTCCATTACATGTATCAAAATGCAGCAAAGAGCCTTTTGTCCCTTTCCCTGCCTTCCACATATCGAATTATGAGACTCCGGAGTGTTAATTGGTTTGTGACCCTATGTAGGTAATAAATAAGACTGGGTTTGCTGACTGTGTGCATTATTTACTTCTTAATCATTCAGAAGAGGCCTAATCAGTTGCCAGTGAGTATCCAAGTCAAATGTGCAGCTTTAAAGCCATGTCAGCCCCTCGGGAAGCAAATCTCTGTTTATTTTGCTGTTTGCTGTACACATTAGTATCTGCATATTTTGTTCAGCTGTAGTTCACATAAAAATCCTTTTAATGAGAAAGCTATCAGCTATAGACAACTTGGTAAGAAGGCCTTTTATATAGTCTTCAGAATGTTTTCAAAGCATCCTAGGGCTGTTTACTGGTGGGTAGTGAGCTTAGGAATCACACATTAGGGTCCAGGGAGGATCTGGGAAGGAGAGGCCTCTAGCCATGAGTCCCAGAGACTGTAGTAAGGACCCTGTTATCAAATACAATTTTCTGGGTAAGTTCTAGCGACCTCGTGAGGATGGGTCATGGTTTCTTTGAATGCTGTTTTCCTCATCGGATGAGGGAGCCAGCAGATGGAGTGTTGTTAGCGTGCATGAATTCAGCCTTCACGTGTGTAAACTGTGCCCTTCATCTCTTTGCATGTAGATGCAGCCCAACAGTTTCCCATGGCAGTCCCCTCTCCCGAGCAGCAGCAGCCTCCCTGCGACATGCACCACGGGGCAGAGTAAAGTAGCGGCCTGGTTGCAGGACTCGGAAGAGATGGATAGGTGTGCGGAAGGTCAGTTCCTGCCTTGGGGGACGCTCAGAGTGAGCACCCGAGCCCAAAGCTGATGGAAGTCAAAACAACGTAGCCTCCAGCCTCACCTCCCTGAGTGACCTGGCCTTTCCTTTGTCTTAGTCTTCTACCTTCTAGATCTTTCTCTGTTCTGTGACCCAGGCTTCCTTCCTGCAGGTTCTCCCAGCTCCTCACAAGTGGGTCTGAGTTTCTCTCCTGCCTTGGCTTCCACGCTCTCCCACTTTTTCCATCTCTTTACCAGCTCCTTCTTGACCTTGCCCTGACCTGTCCCTCGGGACCTGAAGAGCTCCCCGCTTAGTCCTGGACTCCACGCTGCCTCCTCCCTAGGTCCCTTCCATGCCCCCTTTTCTGCTGTCATATCGCCCACGGAACAGTTCTGTTCCCTGTTAGCACAGATGGAAACCATGAGGTTCAGGGCTGCATGTCCGGAGTTACCTGGAAGTGGGGTTTCCTTGGAGAGGCCTTGGGGCCTTCTGTCCTGTCCACTCCATCCTGGTCTGTTTAATCTCTAACTTTCTCCTTCCTCAGCAGACCCTTTGCCCCACGCTTTATCCACAGACCATTTCCATTCTGAAACAGTTTTTATTTGACCCACAAAACTGACAAAAAAAAATTGAAAGGGCCATGTTTAGTAAGATTCAACTGATTTAATTTAATTTTGAGATAGTGTATTTTGTTTTTTATGAAATTATAATAAAAACAGGTGCTATGTAACTTTTTGATTTTTTTTCACTTACAAAGAAAAAAATGGACAATCTGTTAATCCTCCTGGTACCCTCACCATTTTTTTTTAAAAAAAAAAACTCTACCAGCGTGTTAACTCCAAATTTGCATTTTTTTCAACTCTCTGAGACACCAAACTCCCAAACTTTGTCCACATGTGAAATTGTGATTTAAAAGAAAATTTTAGATTCATAATTGTGTCCATATGACATCTCATTAAAGTGTTTCCCTGGATATATTCACCATACACAACTTCCGGTTGTGGAAGGAGGTGGAGCAGTTTCAGACGGCCCTATATATTCCTGCAGTGTTTAGAGACTGCCCAGCTTCTCCTGTGCAGAGGATCATCTTCAAGATGCTCCCCCACCTCAGCCCAGCCCCAGCCCCTATGGCTGCAAAAAAGGACCCAGGATTCAAACTCAGACCTTCTCACTGCAGAGCACACCTCTGAAAGGAATGCGCCCTGCCCGCCCCATGGGCTTCCCCCAGGGGCTGTGTCAACACCTGGACCCCATAAGTCAGTGACTGTCACGGCCAGCTCACCCTCCTGCTCACAAAGCCAGTTCAAAGTTGTGTCCTTATCCTTACCAACCTTTTGCTGACTTCCATTCCTATCTTCGTGACCCAGACCTGCCATTCCTCTCGTCCCTGGTAGTCACGCAGCCTCCTGACTGTGTTACCTTACCTGGTCTCCAGATGAGCGGATCCTTCTCAAAGGCTCATTGGAAATCATCACCTGTGAGCCTGTCTGCAGGCCCTATGCCAATGAGGCATAGGTACTGTTCACTTTCTGCACTTTGTGGATGAGGAAAATGCAATATGTAATGGTTCAGACATTTGCCTGAGATTGTAGAGCTGCCTTGGTGGGCAGGTTGGGATTCCAACACACACTTCATTAATCCCAAGGTCGGTACTTTGTTCACCACGCAATGCCCCCTCAAGCCTGATAGACCTTAAAATAACTGTGCAGACACCCTCCTGGGGCTCTTCACTGGCTCTAGAGTGTTACTCCAAAATCCTTATCTCAGCATTTAGCAGCCCATGCATTCAGCATTCTGGCCCTACCTGGCCACCTCTGTCGATTCAAACAACTGTTGGTTTTTGTTTTTTTACATGGATGTAAATCTCTTGCTGCACTTTAAAAAAAAAAAATCTATACCAATCATTTGCTGTGGAGCAAGCTTACTTCTGAGATGGGTTTCAGTTCCAAAAGGGAACATTTCATATTTATTTCACTGTTTGAATTTGAAGACATAGTGTTTTATGAAACCCATTGTATGTCTGATTTATAATTCTAACAGTAAAGGGGATTGACTCTCCTGGACTTATATGAATCCAGGCCACCAATATATGGAGAAATTACTTGGCTCTTAGAGTATATTTTTTTTCATAGAGTTGGAATTCAAACTAGTAAGAATCTATAATAGATGTTTTAAGGAATCTTTTCTTGCCACATTGTTAGTGAGCTGAAGAAATGATGTGTTTAACTGATTTTTACTCTGTTCTGTTTTTTCTGAACTTGACTTTGGCCCCACCCAAATTCCACCTTGTAAACCATTTGAGAGTAACAAGTAGACAGGCCCCTAGGAATAAAACCACAAGACTGCTGAAGTCTTCAGAGTATCCATGAGACAAACTGTGGGGACAGGAAAGTGGTCACACGCAGCTTGACAGGTTAAAGCCATCTACTTTCACAGTCGCAGGTGGTAAGAATGGGTTTGGAACTCTCTCACCGCCAGTGGCTCTCATGGTCTGACCCAGAGTGAGGTATCCTTTGGGTTACCTGCATCACCATTATATAAATACAAATCTGCCCATCCATTGACCACATCGTATCTACCACAGTGTGGACTGAGCCCCTTTTCATATTAGCTCCACCATTTCTACCCAGTTCTGACCTTTTTGTCTTTCCTAGATCTTGCACACTGTCAGTCAAACCTTGTGGAACTTAGCAAGCTCCTGCAAAACCTGGAGATACTCCAGAGGACTCAGTCCGCCCCGAACTTCACTGACATGCAGGTAAACGTGACTACGCGGTAACAAGGTCTAAGATCCCAACTTAAGCCCTTCCTGGACTGTCCTGTGACTGACTATGCAGGGTGGTACTCAAAAGGGAAGAACTACACTCAGACTAACATTGCAATATTAGTAATAATGTCAATCTATGGTTTATCTTTAGTTAATATGTATGTGTGTTTATCTACATGCATATCTGTGCACCGCATGTGTGCAGTGGCTGTGGAGTCCTGAAGATCCCTTAGGACTGGAGTAATAATAGACGGTTGTGAGCTGGTGTGTGGGTGCTGGGAATCAAACCTGTGTCCTCTGTAAGAACAACTGCCGAGCCATGTCTCCAGCCCCTCTGGCGTTCTTCGTGATACTTTTGAAGTTTGGTGTCCTTGTATTAATTAAGAAGAGTTTTATCAGTTTTGTTTATTTGTTTGTTTTTTGAGGACCAGGTTTCTCTGTAGTTTTGGAACCTGTCCTGGAACTAGCTCTTGTAGACCAGGCTGGACTCAAACTCACAGAGATCCACCTGCCTCTGCCTCCCAAGTGCTGGGATTAAAGGTGTGTCCTGCGCCTGGCTGAGTTTTATCAGTGTTTTATCCATGAATGTATTATAGACTGTTGTGGACATACATATTTGTGTCAATCCCCCATGTCACTTTTGCATTAACAATGATGGCTTTGGAGTTTGAGTTCTAGAACTTTCAGAAGTGTGAGCATCTTTTCGTGTAGAAAAAAGATGCTCACAATCTCCAACCTGGTTTTCATTTTTTGCTCACTAGAAATATCACTTTCACAGGCCCGTTGTAGAGAGGTCTTTGGTTCTAGTATTAACGTCTTTCTTCTTTGGCTGGCTTGCTTTGGGGTCCTAACGATTCCTTGCTAACTTTCTGGGCTCTTAGTGTGTGCGTTACCATGTGTGTGAACTTAATAACCCTCTGTTGCTTTTAACTATTTGTGTAACGTAGGCTAACTGTGTAGATATTTCAAAGAAAGACAAGCGGGTCACCAGACGCTGGAGAACAAAAAGTGTCAGCAAAGATACAAAAATTCAACTGCAGGTACAGCCTTTTGTTTCTCCTTTCCCTTTTCGCTTTCGTTCTCTGTTAAAGCGCCGCACCTATATCCATTCCAGATCAGCCCCGGGCGTGAGGTTGAAGGAAGAGCTTACCAACTTTAAAGCCTGTGCTCTGCGGGAGTTGTGTCATCTAAACGTGGAATTTATTCGTTTTAGTTAGTTGGGCCTAAGTCCAAAAACCTTGAAAAGTCAAGATGATCCAATTTGGCCACCTGATCGGATTTCCATCCTCAGTCCCAGCCTTTGAAGCATTAAAACCCAGACTGAAAGCCACTTGAAAATCAAAACAGGAAAGCCAGCGGACTGTAGTGTGGGCTCATTTATGTAGTCTCAGTGTTAGAGGGCTCTTTTATGGGTGAACGTTGCCCATAGTTTATCAAGGCCTTATATAGGGGTGCTGTAGGTTAAAAATCAGCACAATGGGTATCAGTGTGGCTGCTGTGATTCTCTGGCCTCATAATTTATGTATTTCTGTTCAACTTTCTGGACTCTATTTGCTCCTGCTCAGGTTATAGAAATAATTCACTGATCATTGAATTCTGTCTCAACTCTGAAATTCTGTAATTACAAAGGTAGATCATATGTGGCCTTCAATGATCACTAAAATTGGAACTAAAATCTCCATAGCTCATGATAAATTTACTTGAAGTAAAAATTTTAACTGCAATAAATAGTTGTAGATCCTCTTTGCATTTCAGTGATGCAGAATATGGTAAATGTCCCAAACCCCTTATGTCATAAGTGATACTACTTTCAAATCTTGGCAAAAATCTCCACTGTTCTTACCTTAGCTGTGTAAGATGATTGCTTACCTGCACAGTTAAAATTAGACTTCAGATTTTTAAAAAAAATTTTATCAGTGAATTTAGATCCTAACACAAAGGCGAAAGTAACTACTGTTCGATGCTTCCATTTCTTCTGAATAATTAGCAAATGCAATTCTCCTTTAATGCAGACTGATTTAACAACATTCTTTGTATTGTCACTCTGAGTGTGTCAATAACAAACTGCTGGTGTGCTTTCTAATTTGATGTAATTCATAATAAATTTTCACAAACACTACGCATTCATATTTCTATTTAGAATATCTGCAGCCCATGAATGTAATTCTGCATGTTCCTTGGAGCGATATACTTTATGTGCTTTCCATTCTGTTCATAAAATTGGTGCTAAAGGGGAAATAGGCCAAATGATCTCACAGAGAATTTTCAACATTGTCGTTTGTTTTGAGCTTATGAGTTGTTGTGTTTGTTTTCAGTCTTTATGTTCTCATGTCTAAGAGAATAGAGCCATTTTTGCAACCAGAAGAACCCTTTCTTTAAATAAAAGAATTGAAGAATGCTAACACCCAAAGTGCATGCCCGTTTGGGATTGATGCTATTCTAATCTGGTTCTGTAATGCACACCACTGAGCAGATTCCCTTCCCAGCCATTGTCTTGAGTGGACTGGCTCTCAGCAAGTCTGAACACAATGCCCCTGGCTGTCTGTGGGGTCAGGATTCCCACTACAAGCCCAGTTGGTCTATGTTTCCCCCTGGGGAAAACAGAATGTAGTTCTGGTTAATAAATGTGCCAAGAACTCATAAAGATGTTTTGAGTCATTAGAATAAATCGGTGCAAAAGCAGGCAGATCTTTGAGAGACGTGGAATTTTTCACTGATGCTGCCTTGCTTTGTTTGACCAAGGAGTGACCCAGATAACCTCATGGTTCATAACCTCATGGTTCCGATTTAGATGAGGATCTGAGGTCACCTCATCCCCACACTCCCTTTGCCTGCCCAAAAAAAGTGGATGTATTTCAGTAGAAACATAGACTTTGGATGACAGGAAGCTATTAATCACTCCCAGAGAGCATTTCCTTCCAATTGGACTTAAAGTGTGTATCATTTGACTGAAGTGCTACAGAGTTTGGTTATCACCCCCCCCCCACAACAATTTCTGCTTGCCTAAGGCGACAGGTCTCCCAAGAGCTAGCAGGAGTCTCTATGTAACCAGAACAGGACTAAAGCTCCTTCAACACGCACACCCATTGGGGATGAATTTGTTCACCCAGCCATGTCTGTCACAGGCAGGAATATCTTTACTTAGCTGTCATTTGCCTACAGAAAGACATAACATTTACTTTTACCATAGTAGATTAAAGATACTGGCTCCCATTTTCTCCTCACCCTCGCTGGTTTCCCCTTCCTATTCCCAAAGCTTTTTAACTATGAGAATTCCATCTGATGATGCCAAGTATTTGTGTGATAATCATCTCACTTTCCGGGATGACCATTATTGCAGCCAAGGAGAGATCCTTGGGTCCTGACAGCTCCCTCTCTGTTGTTTGTAACTTAGGTCGTGAGCCGGTTGTGAAGGAAGCCAGGCTGTGTGGCGGTGGTAGTTGGGTGGTGATTATTATTATATTGGCATTGATATTGTATCATTGAACTTCGCATCCATCATTCTATAATCATTGTCATCTTGAAAGAATTCTAAGATAGGTTATTTTTTTAGTTGACTGCAGAAAGTAGAAAATGAAGCATGTCACCCAGACATTGAATAATAGGTTATTCTCGGTGGGGTAGATGGGCTCACCTTTCTTAAAGATAAAAGTTAAATGTTAGACCTGTTTGGTCATATCTGTGCTAGATACCATTGAATTGTTGCTCTCAGAAATCTGCTGTGTAACTCACGGAGAAAGCATTTGTTTTGAAGTTTCTGTGGGCATCCAGGACTCCCAAAACTTCTGATTTCCTGGTTCTAATGAAAATCTCAATAATAGTGTTTCGTCAGAAGTGCTATAGAAGAGAAGTTCTGTGTTATTAATAGAGTACGTTAGACAATAGGTCCTAGGTACTGGAGGAATCAGGTAGGGTAGGAAGAGGTACACAGTGGCCAATCAAGTTACCCAGCATTCACGTGAGGCTGACCTAGGCTCACAGTCCAATATTATACTGACATGCGAAGATGAGTCCTTCCCTTTATTACATCAAGTGTAGAGATTTTGTAGAAAATAGATTATGTGTATGTGACACATGTAAATATGCAAACGATTTGAGAAGTAAAATGTGAAAGTCATTTGGAAGATTGAGAGAATTGGAGATGTGAGAATTCAAACCGTTTGCCATTCCAAACAGATGAAAGTCGTCCTGGGGTTTTTGTTGCTGTTGTTGTGTAAGTTGTTGGGTTAGTCTGAGAAACTTCACCCTGGCTAACTGGAAGTGGAAGTGTTTATTGTCCCCAGTCTTGGAGAGCCAGGGTTTGCAACACAGATAGCATGAGAAGGGGACGCCATTGCCTCTCGACTTCTTCGGGGCTGTGCATAGCTGCACGCTACCAAATGAAACCTGTGCTCTCTCTTTTTCATAACTGGTGATTTTAGGCTTTAGCCCCACACCCTGAGGCCCTTAAAGACTCCCTAGCTCCCCCAAACCCCAATCTAGTAGGCCTGGCATCCACCTTGGGAAACTCTGCAAGTTGAAGATCCCAGCACTCTTGCTACCACGGAGCCCCTGCCAGCAGTCTCTTTGGTAGGAGGTTGAGTAAGGGATTGAATGCATTCTTTTTGCCGTTACATTTTATATAATTACTTTTTCCTGAGTTTGCCTGTTTTCTTCACTATCGTTTGGATGCCTGTTGACTTCATACAGTGTGTCATCCCATGTTTCAAAAGTGGTGTGCACGTTCATTTTGCCTTAGAATCACAGGCTCCTCATTAATGTGCTAATTCATAGCTCTCCATCTTATTGGGGGGTAGGGATGATACTCAGGAAGTGGACTCACAATGTTTGAGGGCCTGCAGTGATAATAAAGAACATTCCTTGTGGCAGGAATGTTCCTTTGACTTGTTCCAATGCTAAATTTCTTTTTCCTTTTTAAGAAAAGTCAATTATAGTTAAAACTTCCCTTTTCCTTTGTCTGATTATCTTTCATCCCTCCCATAAATCCTACCCTCTTCATCCCCACCCCATGTTTTTACCCCCTTTTCTTCTCCCATTCACTGTCAGGAAGGGCCACCTGCGAAGGGCCAGTTCAACACAATTCGGCGCCGGCAGAGGCTAGCAGCAGCGGTGGCTACAACAGTGAGTGGCTTTCGATATCAAACGAGGACCTATGTGCAAGGGTGACTTTGTGGGGGCGGTGCCACCCGTGTGTTGAGCATCACCTGTGGCCTGCCCAGCTGACGTTACTTTCGAATGGTCTTTGGTTCTCCTTGCTTGGCAGCCATTGGACGTGGGTGCTGGTTTTGGCAAAGGGAGAGCTAGCTCATAATCCTGTTCCTCTCCTGTCATTGGAAGAAAGGATGGAAACTAAGGTTTAACTAAGTTTGACAAACTGAGTATGGGGCCCTGAGATGGGAGAATTTACCTAAGTTATGGTATTTTATTTGTTTATTTTTCCATACTGATCGCCAGAACTTTTGCTACCTGGTTTTTGTTTTCCTAAGCAATGCCATGTTACTACAGAATCAGTTGGTCTTTTTTGGTGTGTGTAGCAGGCTGGCTGTTTGGGAAGGGTGTGAGAAAGAAGCGAGGGGACAGGAAAATGTGGATTTTCATGTCACCTCTGCATGAATCCGAAGTAAACATAGCAAGGGAAATCGCTTTCTAGAAGGAATATTGACCTGGAAACTGGAAATGTAGTATGGAAATTTAACACACACACCAAGTTAGGTGGTGTCTAATCCGTGTGTAGAGGGCTGTTTCCCCTAGGAGGCAAACGAATGGATAGCAGGACCTAGGTAGATAGGGTAAAGAATCCTGACCGTCCCCCAGAGAATAGGAAGCAGAACAACTCCCCACAGAATCATGTACCGGATAAAAGTCAATCATAATATTAATTCATCCCAAGACCTTGTTCACTTTTAAAAATAATAGATTCCCGAGTTCATAGTAAGCATGGATGCTAGTTTTTATCTGTTAAATATTTTCTGAGTTAATTACAATTTTATTCTTACAAAATTAGGCTATATTTGCAGATTGGAATTGCAAAGAATACTCGTGAGAAGGTTTTGATTGCACCATGGAGTAGCTCCTGGTGTGGGGGCTGTTGGCTTTCTACTTCGTGGTCAGCTGGGGTGGGATACGTAAGTGTTCAGCCAGGTCACGGGATGGAATTACTTTTGCTTATTGAAACAACCAGTGACTTGAAATTAATTAGGGAACTGATGCCTACGTTGATAGTTTTACAAATATTTGAACCAAGTCATTACTGAAATTGCACTCTGGTGCAGCGGACAAATTCAAATGCAAATTAATGAAGTCTCTGCCCCTGGTTCAGTAACAGATTCTGACAGTAGACATGTCTAACCAGTTAAAGGACCCACGTGGAGAAATCCAAATGATGTTTAAAGAAGTAACAATAGCCTAGCCTGGAAAACCAAGTTCATTTACCTTGTGAGAAGGCTAATGCTTCTCACTGATACCCTTCCAAAAGAGCGTGCAGGGGGGTGATTGTGTTTTCCTGGGCTCGGTTTTTAAGCTTTAGATGCATACAGCGAAAATAATAAAGTTAGGGTTAGCACCCATTTGCTTAGAGTAGGTTTGTATTTTCTTCAGTTGGAAGCAAAAGAAAAGGCTTTTTAAAACAGGAAGCAGTAATGCCCACATCCCAACCCAGCTTTGACCACAGAAATTATAAAAATAACTTTGATTCTAGTGGAAAAGAAGTATACCATCAACATTTGGAATAATTACAGAAATAACTGGGGTGGATGGCTACTAGCCCCCTAGGATCTGTATCCTGACTCTATACCGGAGAGGCATGGAGCGGTATCCACCACTGACCCCTTCCCCCTCCCTAACTCCAGTGGCCTGGCTAAGTCTCCCTGTTTCTTTAGTGCCCCTCCTCTTCCCAACACGGAAGTTACCCCACATTCGAACCTGTCCTATCTTACAGGAAGCTTTTTTGATCTAGAATCTTTTCACAGAATCCTTGTCAGTTTTATCCCCTTCCACTCAGGCTACCTGAGGAGATGGTTCCAAAGTTTATTTTTGTTGTTGGGTCTTAACACTTGCCCCCAGAATGACCCACTTTCTCCACTAGCCAAAGCCCACAGAACTTCAAACTGGAAACAGAAACGCTGGCCCCAACTATGGAACAACACCAAGGCTCCCCAAGCCACCAGTACCTCAAACGTACCCTTGAAAGCAAACTGCAGAATACGAACAGGGTTTTTTTACCCCGGTTGAGTAAGACCTCTAAGTTTGTTATTGCTGGACACACTGGTGTTCGTTGTTTCCCGGTGATCTTTGCTACATTTGGGGCCAGCAGGTCTCCTTACAAATTCCCTTCTCTTTTGATTTTTTTGTGGGTGAGTTTTCAATTCATGCCCTAACATTTCCATGCCACACTGCAGCTACTAGTATCAGAAAGTTCCAGAACCAGGCTTCCTCCCTGTCACAGGGCTTCTCTGAAGCCTTGAGGCTCTTTCCTGGGCAGAGAGAAAGGCCCAAATCTAGCTGGAGATTCTTAGCTCTAAGCATGGGGAGCTGGTGGCAGCTCCCTTCCCGGCCATCACTGGTGACAAGAAACTTGCTACCACTTTCCCAGGACCTTCAACACACTGTGTCTCCCAACACCAAACGCCCACTTAATTATTTCCCACAGACCCGATGCTTCTCTTAGGTGTCCCCAAAGGCCCTCTGTCATCATTAGCACAGAAGTACCCCAGGCAGGAGTCCCCAGAGTAAGGGAATACCCACGTTTCGTTCTTTCCAACGACTCATTTCCAACTTACCTGTCTCAAATATGGAACAGGAAGAAATTTTGAGCCTCACAAGATAGGCAGCTGTTGACAACTCCCAGCACAGTGCCACGATGTCCCTACTGAGCATATCAGATAAGCTGATCCCTCTGAATGCCTTGGAATGTGTGTTAGCATGCTTAGCTTTGCTGACTAAGCAAAGACACTTGTTAGTGGGGAAGTATCCCATTCTCTTCCTTCCTCAGTAGCATCGTCTTCCCTTTGGTAGCTTTCCAGAGAAATTACTCCCTGGCAGAGCAGAACTGCATCAGGAGAGAGAGAGAGAGAGAGAGAGAGTATTTTTTTTTCCTATCTTCTCTCAGCAAATCCATGAAATTTCAACAACACCAAAATCCATTTAAAATTAAGCATTTTAAAACCCCACCCCCCATGTTCAAGCCAAGATTTGCCTCCTTCCTCCTATGGAAATATGCAAATTCGCCAGGGAGAAAGAGTTATCATTTCAATTGTAGAAAATTCACTTTTTGTAGAGTCTATGATATGGTTCCTCAGAACAACTGAATGAATGCCTAAGATGAAGGAAAATGTTACTTCTGGTGGATTTGCTAGAAGAATTCGCATTTCCATTTCCCAAGAACGATTGGCCAATAACATTTGTGACCCTTGGGTTGATCCTTCTAAAAGGGATGAGAAAGTGCTTTGCCTTCACCCACAAGGCCAATCCAGATCCAGTCCAGGCAGGGAAGTTTTTGTAGCCATCGGGAACGGCTGTAGTAATAATGCAACAATAATGCAACCTTTACTACCTAATGTTTTGCACGGGTGGCAGGTTCATAAACCACATTCATTACAGATCAGTATTGTGTGGCACACCAGGGCAATGGCAGTGACTCACAGCACAGGTTTAATCTGTGAATATATATTCTAGTGAGTATACCTCTAGATGACTGAGTCTCTTTAAGCCATTAGTGTATGTAATATAAACTTGTTATTTTTTTTTTCTGGTGGCTGTAGACCAAGTAAGTCTTTGAGTGTGTTTTTACATATTTATCAGGATTCTGCCGAGGCTCAGGTGTACATAAGTTGGACTCAGTGTGAGAACAGGTCCACGCATCAAGATTCAGGCTTCTTTTCTCTGCCACTTATTTTTCGGGACAAATGAAGGTTCAGAGGTCTGCTTTTCTGTTCCATAGTCATTATTCTTTGTAAGAATGATAACTCAGAGAGTCCTGGACATTCTGAAACTATCAGAAACAAGACCCCCTCTGCCCAACCTACACTGCTTATAGAATAAATGAGGACTGAGGGTCTCGAGCATGCCGTCAGAAAGCAGTGTATTGCTGTAAAGGGAAGGAAGGACCTTGTCTGTGTAGTGGATGGTGGAACAGGACGTGGGGACACGTGAATAATTTACACCTTCCCTTCCAGGTTCCCTTCAGCGCCACCATGTCCCCAGTGCGTCTGCATTCTTCCAACCCCAACCTCTGTGCAGATACTGAGTTCCAGACCCCTCCTAGCCACCTCACTGACCCTCTGGAAAGTTCCACGGATTATACAAAGCTACAAGAAGAATTTTGTCTGATCGCACAGAAAGGTAACAAGGTGTCTTCTTGGGCCGTGGAGAACTGGATGGAAGGTCGTTGTTTTATGGCATCCAGGTTGACTCCTGGGTCACCGTGCTGTGTCCGATATTTACAGCGCAACCAGATGTCACTTCAATTTCATAATCCTAAAATAGTTGTTTTATTACTTTTCTATATGGAGGTGTCCATTAATACCATCTCCTAGCTCCTCACAGATGCATTTTTAATTGCCTTGTTAAACTGGATGTTAACATCCTGATCAGAGCCAGTGCCTTTGCTTCTGGGCTGCGGGGGCAGCAGTTGGAGAAGGAGCATGTAGGTGAGCACAGCCCAGGGGAAGGGTAAACTCAATGGCACCCCCAAAAGAGCGTTGTTTGGTTCGTCTCAAAGCGTCCAAGAAACTCAAGTTTCCAGACTTTGAAAGCCTCTGCTAAAACTACAGGTTTTCTCAGCAGACTACAGACCCTCCATGCAGGGGAGACAAAACGGGCATCTCCTTGCCTCTCTGGCCTCTTTGGAAGGGCACTGTGAGGGGTTTTCAAGGTCAACGGTGGGATTAATTCCAGCTGTTGATGGAATTTCTTTCAGTTGATGGTGGATCGTCGCACATGAATTAAGAGATTGTGAGACAGGGGCGTAACTATTTTTCAAAAAAAAAAAAAAAGGAAGTCTATTTTGGAAGACTTCACACACTTTTGAAACACTGTTAATATAAAAATAGGAATTCCAAGCTCAACCTTTTGTGGTTCAAACCACAAGACTGCCTCAGGTTTTACCAGCGTAACTTGTTAGATAGTCAGGCCATGGAGAGAAGTGTTGTTCCTGTTGCTGCTTTTAAATCAAAGCACCCTTGGCACCAGACACTCACTGCTGACAAAGCAATGCCAGGGTCGCTTTTTAATCCACATCATTTCCCACGCCAAAGAAGCCAGTCGGGACTTCTGGATCCACCGTCGGCTTTATGTTGGCAGGTTTCACAAAAGGCTCTTTTTAGGGGGGTGTGCACCATGGAAATAACTCCATCATAACTCTTGAGGTGCGTGACACTTTAACAGAATGGCTCTAAATATTATTATCAAACATGACAAACAAACATGCTTTCCTTTCCTTCTTGAGATGTTAGTTAATTTCTAAGTATTGATGTTGATATTTTGTATGTTGCTTCCAAATCTGTGTTGGCTCATCTAGTATGAAATATAAAAATTTCCATTTTAATTAATTACAATCGCATATTTGTTTTGAGTATGGATACTCAGATGATTCTATTTAAGGCTAGTTTTTACTTTTTTTCTAAAGGCTTATTTTTTTTTAAAGTCAGACTATAACCTAGTCTCTCTGGAGAATGTCTGGACGCCGAGCAGCTAGTGTCCAGAAGTTGACAACCTGTTTGTCCGTTCTGCTGCAGTAACTGTTGGTTCCTCGCTTTTCTCCCTGCTCAGTGCATTCCCTTCTGAAGTCTGCATTTAACAGCATCGCTATAGAGAAGGAAAAGCTGAAGCAGATGGTTTCCGAGCAAGACCACAACAAAGGCCATAGCACCCAGATGGCCAGGCTCCGGCAGTCACTGTCACAGGTGAGCCCACGTGTGTTCTTGTGCATGACCAGCTAAAGGTGCTAGGCGAAGGGTGAGGGAGGAGGCCAGCAGCAGTGGGGATGGCATGTCCCTCTGACATTCTCCCAAGACATTGCAGAGCCAGTACTGAATAGTAGTGTGTTTTTTTTTTTCCTAAAAAGGTCAAGTGAAAATGAACAATAATTGCTGAGTACATATAAATTGGTATTTTTGACTGCTTGAGTTAATGTCTGGGGTCATTTGTCATATAGCTTCTGATTTAAAAAAAAACAACAAAATAAAACAGGCATTTATACATGATTTGCATGTTGAAGGAATATTCCAGAATATATTCAGTTCAATGATAAATAGAACAAAATCTACTAGGTCTTCCACACTTTATGTTTTTCCACTTAGATTTTAATCTGTTGAAAGTTACTAATGACTATGAATAAGTAATTAATAGGTAAATGGGTAATTACTAATTTCCTATTTCTTTTCTAATTTGCACTCTTGGGATTTCCTTTGGTCTGTTGTGCTCCTGAAACTAGACGTCTGTATTTTAGCATCTGCCATATTTTATTTTACTAATAGTAACCACACCCCTGTATACCTCAGAGTTGAGGTTTCTATTACAAATTCTTAAAAGCCACACATTTCTGTGATAAACATTTTCTTCAGACAGCCCTAAATTGCACCCAGTTTGAATCCTTTGAGCATGTGATGCTGTTATGTGATTTTTTTTGTGACAATTCAATGTTTATATAAAATATTGTTCACTTCCTGGTGCCTTGGATCAGAGTGAAGGAGCCAGCAAGTCATGGGTAAGTGGTTCTCCATGTGGATCCGACCCTGCTTGAATATTTTCCATAGTCCCGAGAAGTGAAATGGGAACTCTCCTCACTGTGATTTGCGTACCCGACCTGTCCGTGTTTTCGGTATTCGGTCTCCTACAATGGCATGCCAATATCTAAGCTACACAATCCCCACAACCACAAAGCACCACCAGCTGAGGGACATGTGCTGCTTCCAGCCCCAATCCAGGGCCTCAGAAATATGTGCCTCACCACAGCGCCTGTCTGGCAACTGCAGAGGACTTCACTCATAACCGGCAAAGGTTATGACATCTGCTCACGTTAATGAATCCTCTCAGTGCTCCGTTAATATTAATTGATTTTCTAAATCATTATTATGAGTGGACCATGAAAAAGAAAGGTCAAAAGAATAGTCAAACGAACATGTAGATGTCCTCTTGAAGACACATAAAATACACCCTGAACCCCAAAGTGTTGTATTTTTTCTCTAGTATGTTTTATGATGTTAGCTTAGTGACATAAACATATTGAACATATACTAAGAAAAATAAGAAAATTTGTTTCTTGCTTGCCGCTTGCTTGCTTTTGCTTCTCTCTCATTAAGACAAAGAATTGGCTTGAGGTCTGGGGATATGAGGAGGCTGATCAAATGCTTGCCTCGCATGCACAAAAAGCCCAGGTTCAACCCCCAGCACCACATAGAATTGGACAAAGAGTCATATGCTTTATAATGCTCGCGCTCAGGATGTGGAAGCAAGGAGATCAGATGCTGAAGGTCTTTCTTGACTACATAATGACTTTGAGGTCAGTCTGAGACTCATGAAACCCTGTCTCAAAAATGGATCGAGATCTAGGGCTTGGCTTTGGAAGAATCTAGAAATGACTAGGAAGAGAGATTGGAGTGGTAGAAAATCATTTGTTCATTCGTGTATATGTTAAACTGACTAGATATTATGTAAGATTTGGGATCTCACAGACCTGGTTTCCAGGAAGCTCATAATCTTGTTGGTAAGTGAATACTACCCACCCAGGAAAGGGTTAAGGGACCACACTGTGCCATTCCCAGCAGGACTTGGTGAGGTGGATTTCCAGGGTTCCAGTTGTTGAGAAGGAAAAGATCACTGAGCTGAGAGGAAAGCACAGGCAAGGATCTGACTTCCTCAGGTCGGAGGGGATGAAGAAGGACCCCACACTAAAGTGATAGCGGTGAAACCAACCATAGGCACCTCGAGTTCAAATAGTTCCCTCTCTTCAGAGATACTTATTTGCATCGTGAGTTAGGTCCCCAGTAGATTTTTCTTGGGTTGTTTGGTTGAGGGTTGTTAAATGTCGATTTTCTTCCTAACCAAAAGACTCAAAAGATGTGAAAATAGTTTGGGACTTATCAAGGCTGTTGCACATTAGCCACTGGAAAATGTGATGCTTACCTTTGTGTGCCGTAGCTTTTGGTTACGGTAACATTATCGTGCCCATCTATACAGTTCAGCTGAGCCAGTGAAGCACACACTGGCCACTTCTGCCATCGCTGCTGTGGTGGTGACTTCTGTGTTAGGCATGCAGCTGACTGACAGCTACTCTTCTGTAGTTAATTGATACTGATATTTTGAACACTTCATAGGGGCCTAGAGAATTTGGTGAATGTGGAAGTTATTCCATGGGTAGTCATGAGATGGTAACCATCCCATTGAGACATGAAGGATTAAATTTATGCTATCAATGATAAAGAGGCTTAAGGAAGTTTAACTACCAGAAATTGGAACTATGTGGCATTCTATATGTATTAGAAAGATTAGCCAGGTACCGTAGTATGGAGAATGGATGAGACAGAGGCACCACCAACTGGTCAGACTCATTATCTGAGATAATTTCAGACTGACTGATGATATGTGTGGTCATATTCCCAAAGCAAAGACCTTTCATGCTTGGTAGAGCAAGGGCTGGGTTTGAGACACAGTATGGGATCAACATGGCCTGGTGATCAGCTGAACATTAGAAGGGGGCTAGGAAGCAGACTCCAGCCTGGTTTGATAACATGGCATGTGAATTCTTTCTCCCCAAAAGAGGGAAAACAGAAAGGACATATTTACCAGAGGCTTGTGATAAATGATTTTGTAGAGGAGGTTAAACGTCTGTAGGTCATCTAACAGACAAGTGGAGATATATATATATATATCCATCTTGAGGGGCAGAAAGAGAAGTAGGAAATCTCAGCATCTCAGGGACATTGAAGATGCTGACAGATGCTGACAGATGGTATTTTCAGGCAGAGAACAAGAGGACCAGTGAACTTGGTGCTGCAGCAGAGAACATCAGTATTGAGGACAGGGGAGCAGTTTCTGGTTACCATGGTTGTGGTAAAACACCATGACGAATAACAACTTGGTGAGAAAGGGGCTTATTTGTCTTGCATAATCTGAATTGCACCATTTGTCAAGGGACGCCAGGGCAGGAATTCAAACTGGCCAAGAACCTTGAGGTAGGAGCTGATGCAGAAGCCATGGAGGAGTTCTGCTTACTGGCTTGCTCCTCACGAATCGTGTGTGTGTGTGTGTGTGTGTGTGTGTACATACGTACGTACGTATATGTGTATAAAACCTGGACCACCAGTCCAGGGATATACCTACTCACAACTGATGGCTTGTCCCCCATCAATCACTAAACAATGCCCTACAGGCTTGCCTACCATCACTCGTATGGAGGCATCTTCTCAGATGATGTGCCCTCCTCTCAGGTGACTTTATCTTGTGTCAAGTTGACATCAAACTAGCCAGGACCAGGTTGAGAGAGATTCTCTGATGGAAATCCAGGTCAGACTGGCAGCGGAATTCAAGTGATGGCCACTAAAATCATTTCCTGGTCCTTTTAACTAAGCTCAAGTGGAGACCAATGGTAGATAGAGCATTGAAAATCTTTACAAGGGAAAAAACTTTAAAAACATCCTCTTTGTCAGTAAATAGCATATGGACTGAATGACGTTCTTGACTGTGACAGCCATATCAGCATGTGTTTGTTCTATCAGGAGCCAGAAGAGGATGAGATACTGAAAGTAGGAGACAGTTGAGGCATCATGACCAGCGCTCTTTGCACCGTCCCACCTTCACTACAGTACTTAAGACTGTCAAAGTACCAAAAAGTTTGAGATAGTTTGTCTCCACACCCTGTGTATATTTTCCTATCAACGTAACTTCATGTTAGAGTGTGCTTTCAGATAGTAGCCCGAAGACCCCTTTGGTTCTTATACACTGTCAGCATTGGACCCTCGGACATCTTCCTCATGGTCCCTCCTACAGAGAGGGAAGGAGAGAGATGGTAGTGGAGTCATTTAAATTGACTGACATGGCTAAAGTTCGTATTTTATTTGACATAAGTCCCATTTGATGAGATAGCTGGTAATTAAAATGGTGCATTTTCGGAAAAGCTATTCAGTTTATATCATATACACTTGACAAATTCTGTCTTCCTTTTAGCAGGCACATAGCGTATGAAGTAGATGAGATTAGCATTCTTCACTCTGTAACTGGCAAACATTGTTACCTGCCTTGAGTAAGTAGAAACTTACAAGGCTGGAGAGACCAATAAATTCCTCTTCAGACACAAACACAACGTAATTGTTTAATTTCACCCCTCGTGAAACGTAACTTTCACATCCATGACAAGCAGACATGTTGAGCATACATATGTAGCACAGGACATTTTCTTTGGCATCTGTCCCTCTTAGGTGACCTTATTCTATATCAGCCCTCATTTTATGAACACTAGAATCAAATTGTGTAGTATAAAACTAAGACAGCTTCGGCACTCCCAATTAACAAAGCAGTAACGTGCTGGGGTGTGTGTGGGTCTCTCCCACAGCGTAGTGTGCTGTGTTACCATTGCTGGTTTGGTTTCTCATTTCAGAATTTGTACACAGCTTGTACTGAATACAATGTAAAGCGAGTCCATGCAAATGTGAGCGACAGCATCCGACCCGTCCACTCCAGCTGGAATCGCTATATGTCACTTCTTCAACATGCCACAGTCATTAAGGACATCGTTATGTTGTGCATTGCTGAGAGAGAGGGAAAAAAGCATTGCTGTCAACTGAGCTGACAGAGTGTGCTTCCGAGGCTCAAGGCTGTGCAGGGAGAATGTGCACTTAGAATTCTTGAAGTATGTTAAGACCGAGACTGTAAACAAAAGGTTGGCTCGAGGCACATAATGGCATAATTTAACATCCCAGCCGTACTATCTGTCACCCTCCCCGTCCGCAAGATTACACAGACTTCAGATAGGTACTCTGTAATGGGAGAGAAATCCCATGTCTACTTATTTGTTTCTGAATTCTGCAATTCTCTGGGACCCCAGGAAATCTGAGGGTATGAAGACGTTTTCCATAGAACCCTTTACAATTTTTTAGCTATGTATCAAGTCTCCATGGTAACCCATTGTCTCAGTGGGTCCATGCTGATATCACAACGTGTTTGTTGTAGTGAAACTTTGTCACTACCTATGTGTCCAGTGGGAAACCACGCCTACAGTGCAGCTATGGAAATCATGTTTCTAAAAAGTTTCAAGCATGTGTTCATCACCACAGCATAAAGAACAGGTCAGAAGTGAAAGCCATTCACCTGGGAAACAATATAAAAAAGCCAGGAAGAATGACACACTGGTAACCCCAGTCCAGTAGTATGGTATGAATTCAAAACATATTAGACGCTTTCATTTTCTAAATCTAACAGTAATTTTTAATTGGGAGAAAAATAAGGATATTTGTGCAGAAGTTGGGTTTTGACTGCTTTTTGGTCTAATTCTCTGGCTTCTTTTGAAGCAGCTTTACCTTTAACAAAGGGTCTGATTGTGTGAAAATCTTTGCTGAGTGTTATTAATCTTCCTCCAGCTCTGGCTGTTTCCTTCCCAGAACCCACAATTCCACTTAGTCAAGCCATCTTCCCAGTGTCTCCCTGAGTCTGAGTGAAATTCCCATCTGTTGTCTGAGGAAGTTGAGACTTAAGGGTTCATTATGGGTACTGCTTTTTTTGTTTTGTTTTGTTTGGTTTTTTTTTTTTTTTTTTTGGTATTAGGCATTGTTATGTTTGAGGACTGGAGGCAGGGTTGGGCATGCTCTGTGGGGTCTTTCACACAGTCTAGAGGCACTAGTGAGTGTAGATGGTCCCTGTATGGCTGCTCAGTGAAGAGAGTAGGCACCGCACAGTGCTGGTTCCTCAGCGCTTCCCCTGTTGGCCTAGGCCCCTGAGTCCAAAGCAAATCAATACTCTCAGGCAGGCCCCCGTAGTTTCTCCTGCTCGGTGGCTGGCACCAGTGGCTGGAATCTGCCTCCCTTTTCCTTGCTCTGTCCCTGTTTACTCTCCTTGAACACATTCCCAAATTATTTGTATCATCTTCCATGGTCTTTCATGTTATTATCACTCCAATGGTCTTTCCTCTTTCAATCCCTGGATTCTTCAGTATTCTCAATTTCCATGATACTGTTAGAAAATGTGGTGCTGGTCCCTGCTGGGGAGCACTGTGCCCAGCACTCAGGCTCTGGACTGCAGCCAATCTCACTGCAGACTGACAATCAAGGCAAAAGGAGGACCCAGCCTGAGTCAGATTGCTAAAAACAGGCTGACGCATGCATGGTGGTCGGCTTGAGTCTGCCAGAGTCGGAGTGACTTAGTTCTGCTTCATTTCTGTCAAAGAACCAGTCTTGCATCTACCACTGCATATATATTATCAGGGAAGTGGTTTCTTTCCCACATTTGCTTGGACTTCCATGGCGGGGATGCCTGTTTGAAATAGAAGTAGGATTTAGTCTTGGATGCTTGTTCCAACCTTGAAATATTGAGCTAGAAAAATGTTGTGCTGCCCAGAAAAGTGGAATCCAGGCTTTTCTTTCATACAGTGTCAACATATTGGCAACAAATTGTAATTATTCTCCATGTGGAGCACATGATCTTAAGTATTAGCAATAATTTCAAGGAACTTACTCTTGAAGTTTGAAAAATTTAAAAGTAAAAAAAAAAAACAAAATAAAGACTGTTTGTTTTTTATCTCAGTAAGGAACACATTTAAGATTTTTCTTTGGGGACCATGATACCTGTTTGCCACCCAACTGAGGAGAAAACAGGGCTTTAACACTAAGAAAATTAAAGATGTGGGTTAAAAACATCTGTCTCCAGACCATCCCGGTAAATCTCAAGGTAAACAGCACATGCTGGGAAAATCATGATCTTTTCCTGTTAGGCAGCCAGTGCTCTCCCTGTCCAGGGCCGGCCCTGAGAAGTATAGGAAGCTCCCATTCCTGTACTCCCGATGTAAACCCCAGAAAACCCTCTGACCAGAATTATCTGACACCTACGGCTGTGCTGTCGTTCTTCCGAATGGTGCCCTAGAAGCACTGTGCACAATTTCTACTTGGCATTTTATTCAAATTTGAGAAGGGCTTCGGAAGTCACCCATCACAGTGACCTGACTTTGTAACTAAAGAAAGCACGGCCCTTTGTAATCCCAGGTATTCAGGATGCGGAGGCAGGAGAGTTCCAAGTGCTGGCACGGGCTGTTTAGTGGGGCCATGTCTCAAAAGAGAAAGTAAGGGGAAGGAGGGCATGCAGACTCCCAGCAGCTTCTGCGTCTCGGGTGGACACGAAGTCCTAAAGTCTAGTCACTCCTAGAATTTTTCCCGTTGTATAATTGCCAGAAAAAGAAAAGGTTGTCTTCACATTTAAACAAAAAAGAACTCTTTTAGCTCATTTCCTACTGTATTAATCCTTACAGGTTTCCCTGGGTGTCTTCCATGTGTCTGTAGGCAGGATCACATTTAGTGCTAATTGGCCAAGAAGAGAGTTTAAGTGAGGTCTTAATGTTTTTAAATCCCCAGAGGAAGTGGTTTGCAATATTCCTTGTAAGTGGGGAAAAGAGTTTAGCATTCCCTCCCTGAACCAGAGCTTTGCTTACCTTGTGACTTCATGGTGTTGCTTCGTGAACACCATGCCAGTGTCAGCAGAAGGTGGGGTCATTTGAAAAAGAATGGACAGTTGAGATTTATGTGAATACCTCGGGTCAAGACTGGCTCTGCCCACCAGCTCATCCAATGCCTTGCCAAAGCCCTCCCACTTACTAAGTGTGGCTAAGTAGGTTTGGCCCGAATACTTCAATAACTATGTGTACTTATGGGCAAAGGGGATACCTGGATGAACAAGTGAGCTCGCCACAAAGGGTGAGCCTAAGGCCACCATTTTTTATTTACACACATCTCTTTCCTAATATGTCCATGGTTTCTTAGATAACCAGGCATTTTTCCTCTCCACACGTGAGTATTGTTGGTTCAGTATCCACCTTCAGTCACCTGGTACTTGTCACACCAGATCCGATGTGTTTCTTAATATATCATGCCAGCTAGTCCTAAAGGCTGTAAAACAAAAGCTCTAAGTAATTCTGCCCTCCAAATGCAAAACTGGAGTTTAAGGCAGGAACCAGACTGGGGGAAGGAGAGGAAAGACAAGACAGCCTTTACCCTGTGATTGGTGTACGCCTTGCCCAGCGTGCGTGTCGAGTTTTGGTCCTTACGTTTACAGAGCGTTTGGATGAGTTCCGTTACATTTATCGAATTCTGCTTGGGCTTACACTGGTGTACCATATCCATTGATGTGAGTCTCCATATCTGTCGATACTCTCTACATGAAGCAGAATGCACATTCCCCAGAATAGACGCCCTTGAGTGAGCCCTAGCATAGATCGTCTGCTCGGAAACATCCGTGTCCGTTTCAGAATTCCCATTTTTAACGGGAAGGAAGGGATTGCCCATCTTTGCACAGGTCTTGTCCTCACACACACATTATACCTGAAAGTTCCAGTGAGCTGAATCCTGAGACAGAAATGATCATTTTCCCGCCGTCAGTGTGAAGTGCGGAGGGCCCCCCACGCTTTGTGCCCCGGGGTCCTGTAAGGGGCACGCTTATGTGAAGCTGCTCTGTTCGTGTATTAGGTGCACTCGCTGCATGTGCTTGACTGTGTAAATGGTGTTTACCGATGCTTATTCCTGGTGTGTTCAAAGCGCTGGGATGTACTGAAAATCGAGTTGGTTTGCTGTTGGACTTATGTTCTTATGGTTGTCCGTGTCCCTGCTACTCAGCAAAAGCACCTTCTGAGTTGCCTCTGTGCGTTCCACTGTTCTGCCAAGAGGGTTGGTTATGAGCGCCTAAAGAAAAAAAAAAAGGCCCTCCATTTCCTTCTATCATTCTGGAAGATAGTGATGTACATTAAAGCCAGCTCATTCATTATTCCAAGTGTTTTTGAGATGATGGCCTGTCTTTGAAGCGAATCCTGAACTTTAGAGAGTAGAACAAAAGAAGACTAAGAAGGAATCAATAACTTTCGTCCCAGACTGCACAAGATAATATATATGTGGTGGTAGACTGGTCTTGGATGTAATGGGTCTGCCTCTATGGAGGAGAAAAATCCATGTATCATTTTTATGAAGCCCGTTAAATATTTCAGTTCCCTAACCTACTTAAATAGTGCTCTTATATTACAAAAAGTTAGCGTCATAATCCAGAGCCATTTATTTTCTTCTTAACTGATATGGTCCAGCGCATGGTGAAGTGTGAGCTAGGGTCTCTAGAATGTTGTTGTCTCAAGTGGTCCCTTGTATTTATTTGTAACACTTGCCTATTAATTTGCAGTTACAATTGCAGTTTTTGTTACTTTAAGGCACTCAACCAGAATGCTGAGCTCAGGAGTCGGCTGAACAGAATACACTCAGAGTCTATCATCTGTGATCAGGTTGTCAGTGTAAATATTATCCCTAGCCCTGACGAGGTAAGGCTCATTGAGGAACGGTTAGAGAACATCTATTTTGTGGCATCTGAATTACTACATATTTTTGCTTATTTTAAACGGTTGTTTTCCATTAATAATATCTTCTCCATAAATACTTGTGTTGCAGACAGCTCAGTAGTCTTTGAATTAAAAGATGTGTGTGTACTTGACATCATGATTTCCTGGTGATCGCTGTCTCTTTTCATTTATTTCTATATTCACCTGATGTCACCAAATATTTAATTTGTATATCTAGTCCAGCTTGTTTATTTTCTGCATCTGTGTTTTGTTCCCCCTTGTTCATTAGCACCAAATGTCCAATGAAATGCTGAAAATAATTTTACCTGATAAATTGTTAAATAAAAACTGCTTAAAGGTTTCTCTGAAAGAAGTTGTCTAGGGAGAGAAGCTCCCTATTCTTGCTGAAACAAAGCTAACTGATGACTCAGAGGATCAAAAGCCAGCAGGCACTGGAAGTGTGGTGGGGTGCTGGCCTAGTGTCCGGAGGCCCTAGGTATGGCCGCTCTGTGCTGGGTACTGCCCTAACCAGTACCTAACATTGTACCTCGGATGTCATTCTCAGCGGCCTCTACAAAACATGCTGTTGTTCTGTTTTTTATAATGAAGAAATGACATGAAAATAGAAAACCATTCAGAATGTGGGCTAAAATGTGTCTGAGATTTCTGTAAAGTTACTGTTTTATTAATCGTAAGAAATTAAAGCTGTGTATATGGCAATGCAGCTAACAAAATGAGAGCTTAAATTAATGCCAAGGTCTTATTTGCACCCAAACCATATATTTTACTATGAATTTTACCATAAATCAGACTCAGGCATTAAGTTAACCTACTGTTAACTTAGGTTGTCCACTGTGTCCATTCATTCTTAGGGTCCCACTGGACTCTAGTCACATTTATATCCAGCCGTGTGCTCAGAATCTAGTAATAGTTCTAAGTCTTATCACCGAAAAAAAATATTTAGATCCAGCAAGGTGATTCAGCGAGTCAAGTCACTTGCCACCAAGTCTGGTGACCTGAGTGCAGACCCCAGGGAACCCCACAGTGGTAGAGAGAACAGACTGCTGCAAGTTGACCTTTGAACCCCCCTATACCCATGTATTTGTGTGTGCCCCCATATGTACACCCAATGAATAAATGTGATTTTGAAATTACATAATAATCTTTAATTGGAGTCTTCACCCTGAAAAGTGAATTAGAATATATATAATATTCTTAAAATTATTTCTAATTCAATTTATCTTCCTTGAAAGCACTCGTTTGTGCCTTAGCACACATAAACAGTATTTTACTTGAAATTACATTCAGTAGTCTAGACATGTTTAATTAGTTTAAAATCTGTGATTTGGTTGAAAATCAAATTATATATATCCTATTTCAGAAATTAGTCTTATACATCACCGTGATCTTAGTTGTCTCGAGAAGTTTCTGGGAATACTTCTTGAGGTTTAATGTACTGCTTAAACCAACAGTTCAGGTTGTGAGCCATTTGGGGGTCACACAACAGATATCCTGCACCTCACACCAGGAGCAAAATTACAGTTATGAAGTAGCAATGAAAATAATGTTATGGTTGGGGTCACCACAACGTGAGGAGCTATGTTAAAGGGTCACAGCTTTAGGAACGCTGAGAACCGTTGGCTTAGACTATGACTAGTAATGTCAGGCCTAAGACCACAGTCAACTCATGTTTTTAACAGAGGTCTCACCTGTTAAAAATCATTTGCTACCAATAGAGCATGGACTTGAAATCAAATTGTAACATCACCAGCTTTTAGTTCTGCCTCTGGGCATCTCTAGACACAATAGATGGCATCATATATGGTAGCAACTGAAACTTGGCCACTAGTGTTAATGGACAGTCTGGAATTCTCTAGAAATCTAACTAACTTGCAGGACTAGCAGTGCTGATAGGAGGAAAAGGTTGATTCTGTCATATGAGCGCTCTCTCTCTCTCTCTCTCTCTCTCTCTCTCTCTCTCTCTCTCCTATAGGCCGGTGAGCAAATCCATGTCAACCTCCCTCTGTCACAGCAGGTGGCCAATGAGAGCCGCCTCTCCATGTCAGAATCTGTGTCAGAGTTCTTTGATGCCCAAGAGGTGCTTCTGTCTGCAAGTTCATCAGAGAACGAGGTAAGGGTCCTGGGCGTGTCCATCTCGTTTGCCTGAGACTGTGAGTCTGGGCAAAGACTGCCAGCCTCTAGGACTCTGGGCTGTTATAGGTGTTTGTTTATGTCACGGGACAAGGCTCACCTTATAGCAGGGCGGAAGCGTGTAAGCTACCATGGCGCTTCCCGTTTCCTGAGCACTTCACGGTGCTTCTGGCTGCAACTCAGGGCTCTTAACTTGGATGAATAAAGGGAAATAATCGAAAATTCATACATGTGACAAAGTAACCCAGCCATTGTTAGCAGAGTTCATTGCAGGGACTATTTGATAATACGGAAAGGATGAGAGAATTAGAAACCTTTTCGATTGGGTAAGTTAATATTTCTCCAAGGCAAATCTAATCATGTCCCGAGCCCCAGTATTCTTAGGATAACAATTTAACTGTCACACAAAAATGTGAATAATCTCATCTCTGTATTCAGGAGCAGCCTCTTGTCTCTTTCTGTTACAGATTCTTCCAACAGCCAAAGGAGTGATTCCTAGAGTTATCAATTTGCTAAAGAAACAGTATTATCCCTGTAACAAAGAGAAGTAGTCTTTGGTGTGACCCACACTAGAAAGAACTGAACTGCGTAGCAATCCTTGTGCCCTGTGTTTTAGAGGTTTTCACAAAGAGTGGCTTTTAGTCCTGTCTTCTTGTGCCACAGTACTCAGGAGTTAGCCAGGAAATAAACTCAGATGATGGTCAGTGTGGTTCTCTCAGGGCTGTCTCTCCTCCTTAGTTAAGGCATGGCTCCTAGGCCCACCTAATCTGCTCCAGTCTCAGGAACCCAGTCGACCCCAAGTCTTTACACTGACACACTCGGCAAGCCCACCTAGTGAGGCAAGGGTTGGCGTGTGAATTCCCGTTACAGCTGCAGGGTCCGTGCAAGTTGTGTGTCCTGTACCGCAGCTTCCAGTGGAGACAGGCCCTTTGCCCTCGCCGTCTACGCTGGCAGGAGCATTTCTCCCAGAGATATGTCTGTCATCTTCTCCCCACGTTCAGCCTACTCCTTCCTCAGTAGACACCGTCAGGGAAGCCTGTGATGGCTGACCCACCTCAGCGTGGTGCCGCTGGTTCCCTCTCCCCACCCCAGCCTTCGGTAGACTTTGTTTGTGTTTCTCTCCCAATTACCACTCCCCAACACAATATGGTCCATCGATTTCATTTGTTTTTCGTGTGTTTCCCCCTCTAGAATACAGGTTCCATGAAGGTGGAGACTTTACCACTTGGTCTCTGGAACAGTCTAGTGAATTCAAAACCGGCACTCAAGAAGTATTTACTAATTAAATATATTAATATTTTAATTAATATTAAATTCCATGAAGGGGAGAGGTTTGTTTTTTTTTTTCCAGGCCATTCACCCACTTCTGGGAAGTGCCCGTATCCAAATTTTCCTGACTAGGGATGTAGTCTCCACCAGTACATTTACTTAATGAGTCCTCGGCTCCTTTTGAGAACTCTGTCTACTAAAAGCTACATCATTGGTGTTTGAAGATGGCCTACTTCTTTCCAGAGTGATTGACCAGCCTGGTGTCTGCTTTAGAATTTGTATCTGCAGGGACATGCCGAGTCACATTTAGAAAATAATTCCTGAACTATTTTTGAACCCTGAAATTTCAAAACAAAAATATTCGACCCCAGAACTTTTAGCTCACGGGAAAAAGACCGACCTTGATAACACCACAGGGTCTTGGCCCATGGTACATAGGGCCACGTGAAAGGACCACAGCAAATAGCCCAGCCCCAGTTACGCACCACACACTTAGGACTTGCCCACCTCTGACCCATGTCCACTGTCCCCTCGGAATTCTACACCAGCAATAATTGTATCATTTACGGCCCAGTTTGGGAGAGATCAGACACCAGAGAGGAAGAGCATGCTTCCGCATGGCTGTTTCTATAACAAATGATAACAGTAAGCATGCTTGTGATAGACGTTCAGTTCCGGTAGGCACTGGTCTCCTCGTCTGTAATCAGTGAGATCGGCTTCTTCTCGAGGAATTGGGTGGAAGAGATTGACTTACCCTTTTCCCTTTCAAGCTAAAGAGCTCAGCTTTACTGAATTTGGCAGTGTTCCCGCTAGCTCTCTTGACAGTGAGAACCATAGAGACCAAGCACAGAGGGAAATTATGAATCAGAAAAAAAAAATATTTTTTAATGCCAACATTCTCTGTATCATTCCAATTTTAGTATATGTGCTACCGAAGCAAGCGCAAAAAAAGTATTCTTAAATTGCCATGTTTGTAGACTTCACATGCAAAAGCAAAACCTCTTTTTATTCTAACCCATGTGTGCATCCTTCAGTCGGGGTTTACCACGGGAAATGGACGAACTCTGGAAAGAGAACTACGTGAACTCTTTTCAACTCTGTCTTTTATTTACTTAAGTGTGTGTGTGTTCTTGTATGCATATGCCTCTGGGTGTGTGTTTGTGTGCATACGCATGCATGGGTAGAAGTCAGAGGTCAGCTTCCATCTTTTTCAATTTTTCTCCGTCTCACTTTTTGAGACACATTCTTTCCCTGAGCCCTGGTGCTCGATGGCTCAGCTAGACTGGCTGGCCAGCTCCGGGACTCTGTCTCCTCTCCTCCGCTACTGCGACTTCAGGCACATTCACCACACTCCCAGTTGTTCCGTGGGTCCTGGGAATCCGATCTCAGGTCTTGATGTTTGTACGGCAGGCACTCTACTGACAGCTCAGCCCCTCAGCCCTCACTTAAAAATCACCAGTGAATCTAGAAATATTAGAAATTAGAAATAGTTTAAGCCGTTTTTCACGGTGCAGGAGAGCAAGCCTGGGGCCTTGCACCTGCTAGGTTAGGTGTCTATCACTTAGTACGCTCTTAGTCCACCTAGTTTTCACTATATTCAAATTTAAAACTTTCAGTAGCAAAATGCTGACATAAAGCTTAAAAAAAAATGGTGAGGAGAATCAAGAATCAGATGAAGATGGCGCTCCCTGGTAACCAGTGCGGTCTGAACGTCATGCTCAGTGTCCTCAGCAGCAGCTGTAGCCTGGGCCCACGCCCTGATCTCTCCCAGGCATGAGCATCTCTCCTCTGGCCTGGTGAGGCGAAACCCAGAGAGGGCCACTCTGGTGAGAGGAGGCTGTGAGGAACAGCAAGAGAGCAGCGCTCACACCCAGCAGGCACCATGACTGGGAAGCACTGGGAGGCGGCTGGCTCGTGGTGAGGGCTCCAGCTTATTCTGACTAGCCAGAGCCATGTAGCAAGACCCTGGCTCGAAGCACCAAGCCAAAACAAATGGCCAGACAAACAGAAAGTGATCTTTGTTAGTAGTAGAGACGCATACAGTGTGTGTTTATGCTGACATTTTAAGATTCGGGGCGTGAAGCCTGTCTGGATGGGCCTCTAGGTGGTGGCTGCTGGTGATTTTCAAACCCTGTGTGTCCTCATGGACTTGTGAATATTTTACGGCAGGAGTGTTTGGTTTTGCGCTCAGAGAAGATGCTGTTGTTTACACCTTGAAGACAGTGAAGAGTATCGCTCCCCTGCCTAGAGTGGAGACTTGGTTCCCCAGTTCTGCTTATACCTTAGTGTCCTTTCTTAATAGTTCCGGCTCTCTGTACATCACATTGCTCCTTAATTTTATTTTCCCCTCAATTTGGGTTTCTTTTTAGTTTCTTGTTCATTTGTTTTTGCAGTGTTTGGGATTGAACCTAGAACTTATGCATGCTAGGCAGGCAGTCTACCGCTGAGCCGTATCCACACCTCTGCTGGCCTCACTGTTGCTCCATCCATGAAGAGAATGACTTCAGGTTTGCTCTCTCCCCAGCCTCCCATAAGCCGTCAGATTCTAGGCTTCTAGGGTTTCTTCTCTGTTGACAGAGTTTCGGTCCCATAGCCTTTCAGTCCCCCAAAACCACACAGAGGTCTACATAGGTCTAAATAGGTTATAATAATCCAACAACATTTATAGTCAAATGTCTTTTAGCAGCTGTTGCTCCTTCCTCAGCCATCAAACAATTCAAAGACAACACAATAACATACAGTGTTCAGACTCTCTGTGTATTTTTCATCTTTACGTGGCTTTATTTTAAACTGTATTTCTTTTACTTTTATTTTTAATTTTTGGTTTTTTTGAGACAGTTTTTCTCTATGTATCTTTGACTGTCCTGGAACTCACAGAGATTTGCCTGCCTCTGTCTCCAAAGTGCTGGGATTAAAGGTGTGTGCTGCCACACCCAACTACTCTCATTCTTTCTTTTTTTTCTTTCTTTCTTTCTTTCTTTTTTTCTTTTTTTCTTTCTTTCTTTTTTTCTTTTTTCTTTCTTTCAGGACTTCATCCTTTTTTTTTCTCTAATAAGCCTCCATATATTTTTAAACACACTATAAACTGTTTAGAGGGTTTTTTTTCCATCGAAATCTATCTTTACTGTTTATCTTTTCTGAACACATGAGTCTTTAATTTACTAAACGATATGGCTAGGGTTAAAACCTTGGCTTTGTTGACTGGATCTACCCCATCCCTTAGCTTTCAGGGAGTCTAGCTTCATGGTGGAGGTACTGGTGGGAATCATGTTTATTGCCATAGCTCTGGAGTTTCAAGGTCCCTGCCACCACCAAGAAGCATGCTGTTGGCTATTCATAAACACCATTTAAGTGTTTGGTGGCGGTGCCTCTTAAAAAAAGCTGCAAGGTTTTTGCAGCTAAAGCTGAGTCAGGAAGCCTCTCTTAAATGAGATGTGCTTGCCTCTAGCAAACAGAGCCCACCTGAGAAAATGCTGCTACCAAGAAGCTGTGCTTAACTCTTGTTTTGTGTCTAGAATTACTTCCCAAGTCTCTCATGTTGGCACCATTTGTTGACAGAGGTTTCTGTCATACCTGGTTCTGTAGCCGTTCAGTCCCAAAGAAACACACAGAGGTTTACATTAATTATAAACTTGTTGGCCTATTAGCTCAGGCTTCTTATTAACTCTTATATCTTACATTAACCCATAATTCTTGTCTTTGCTAGCCACATGATTTGGTACCTTTTACCAGTGAAGCATTCTCATCATGCTTCCTCTGTGTCTGGGTGATGACTGCAGACTGAGCCTTTCCTCTTTCCAGAATTCTCCATTCTGGTTGCCCTGCCTATACTTGCTGCCTGGCTATTGGCCAATCAGAATTTCATTAAACCAATACAAGTGAAAAATCTTTTCAGAGTACAAGACCATTGTCCTACAGCATTTCCCTAGATCTGTGTAGCATCTTTTCATTCACCTCCCTAAAGAGAGCTGTAGGCATCTTCTGGAAAACCCAGTCTTGACTCTCTGCACACTCCCTTGCAATTTGTTGGTTTTTAATGACCGTTCAGGTTGGCATGAAAAACCTATCATTGCTGCTATGCCCTCTCCTGTCTCCCTACACTTAGTCTCCACCACTCTTTACTTCCCAGCAGTCCTTGGGTTAATGTTTCCCTAATGGTTCTTGCTTTTGCCTCTCCCTCCTTCCTGTGCCTCTCCCTCTTATAATGATTGGGCAACTCCTATTCTCCCTTGGACACCTCCACACCTTCCTCTCAATAATCCTTCTCTGGACATCCTATGTGGAATCCTCAGTGTAGAGTCTCAGGCCTCCTATTATGTATATGTTACTGTGTTTTCCTGAATTAAGCGTTCTAGCCTCCCCAAGCCTAGCTGAGGAGAGACTTCAGAACAATGGTTCCTCCCTAGCACCTTGTAGTAGACACTCAAGTATTCTTTGAGCCAAGTATGTGTTCTGCTTCTCATTTGAACAAGACTGTGTTACTTTCAACCTTTGGATGATCTGAGTTTTCAAGGCAGGAATCCCGAGGGACATCCTCATCACCTGTCTGTCCTCCCTTCCTTAGGCCTCTGATGATGAGTCCTACATCAGCGACGTGAGTGACAACATATCTGAAGACAACACCAGTGTGGCCGACAATATTTCTCGGCAAAGTATGCATCGTTTGAGCGTCCAGGTTGTTCTCCCTGCATGCCAGATTACAACCCTGGTGAATTACTAGCCAGGCATTCCCTTCTTCTGCTCACCAGTTGTCCCCCTTCAGTTAGTTATTGATAGCATTTCTGTTGCATAATCTATCAGGGTGTGCGACTGTAGAATCTAGGAGGTATGTGGTTGAGTAGAGAAGATGTACATCTTGTTCAGACCCAAATGTCAAGTCCCTCTCATTAAAATGCATATGCACTTTATGCATGCGCGCACACACAGAGAAAGAGAGGGAAAAAGGAAGGGGGAGAAGGAGGGAGGGGGAGGGAGAGAGAGAGAGCGCACATTTTTTAAATATTTGAGTATATTTAAAACTTTGTTTAAAAACATACTCTGATGTTCTGCATGCTGTTCTCCGCTTCATATAGAAATGTTCCTATGTATTCAGGAGGCTGTGGTTAGATTATTACAGTCAGAATTCTATGAAGGGCTCTCCTTTCCACTCTGATTTGATGAACCAGAGAGGGGGCACAGGACTCACTGTTCTTCTTCCTCCCCCAGTCCTGAACGGGGAGCTCACAGGAGGTGCCTTCAGGAACGGCCGCCGCACGTGCCTGCCTGCCCCTTGCCCTGACACCAGTAACATTAACCTGTGGAATATCTTGAGAAACAACATTGGCAAAGACCTGTCGAAGGTCTCCATGCCCGTGGAGCTCAACGAGCCACTCAACACTCTGCAGCACCTCTGTGAAGAACTGGAGTACAGTGAGCTCCTGGACAAGGCCTCGGAGACTGACGACCCCTATGAGAGGATGGTAAGGAAAGGCAGGGCCTGAGCGAGGCCACAACCATCGTGTAGACAACCTTTCTGTTTGTATAGCGTCCTCACGGCGTCGGTATTAGAGAAGGCTTGGTCTGTGCGCAGAACCAAGCCTGGCCAGAAAATTCTAGATCCTCTTGTTGGAAGCTACTCATGGGAGTTCTCCATGACCTAGATTCCCACAGTGGTCTCAGCCCTTGGCATTGCCATATGGGGTTGTTCATAGCTTCCTGGGATAGATGTGTGTTGACCTTGAATTGCTCCCTAAATGTTAGCAAAGAGATTAAAACCTCCTTCGAGGGTAAAAGCATGCTGAGCCTTGATCTGTCAGCTAATCCTGTGTGCCAGGGGAGCCCATCTGTTCAGGAATGTAGTTCTAAGAAAGCAACTTGCTGTTGGTACTTTGTCCTCCACTCCTAAGGCTGAAAAACTTGACCTCTGCTCTTTCCAGTACCAGCAGCCACACTTTCCTGCCTGGGGGGCGAAGGGTGTGCTCACCTGTGTATTCATGAAGATTCACGTAATTGAAAACACAAGTGGCATCAAGTCAGCCCCCTCAACATGGAGTGTGTGCAGTCTGGAGGGGCAGAGACAAATGGACCCGAGTGACTCCCACATCGCGCTCCTCTCTCGATGTCTTCACAGGTTCTCGTTGCTGCGTTTGCCGTCTCAGGGTATTGCTCCACCTACTTCAGAGCAGGAAGCAAACCATTCAACCCCGTCCTGGGGGAGACCTATGAATGCATAAGAGAAGATAAGGGGTTCCGGTTCTTCTCAGAACAAGTAAGTGAGGTTGCTGTCCACATTCCGGGAACAGTTTGGTGAAGAGAAGAACTTTAATAACTGTGTGTTTGGAACGGGCTGTCTTAACCAGTTAAGAGAAACACCATGTCATTTAACTGCATCCTCACCCCCACTGTGTGTGTAAGATCTCTGTGTTTACTTAGGATTTGAGATGAATTTATTATTAGAACTGGATACTCTAGTTTCACTGGGTGGGGGGAGGAGTGATTTTATTTTTTGAAACAGTATTGTTGGTGATCTAGGTTGATATAGTGGTGGTGCAGGCTTGTAACCACAGCACTGGGTGGAGGCAGTGGGATCAGGAGTTCAAGGCCAGTCTTAGCAGTGCTGTAAGTTTGAAGCCAGCCTGAGCTACATGAGACCCTGTCTCAAAAAACAAAAAATATCATTTAAAGAAGTTGGAATACTAGCATCATTGTCCTCTCTCTCTCTCTCTCTCTCTCTCTCTCTCTCTCTCTCTCTCTCTTTCTCTCTCTTCCCAGGTTAGCCATCATCCACCCATTTCTGCCTGTCACTGTGAATCGAAGAATTTTGTTTTCTGGCAAGGTTTGTATTTCAATTACAACTGAAAGTCAAATGTATAAGACCTGTGGACAGTTTCTAGCTACAGAAAGCACACAGTCTGCTCAGTTCAATTTCTGTCTTGAGAACTCAGAGACTATTACTCAATGTCAGCAGGGATCGTCTTGAGAAAATTAAATTTTCCAGTTTAATATGAAGCCATATTGTCTTGGAAGTGAGATGCTGGCTGGGCCTGTGGAATATCAGCTCCATGCTTCCCATTTCAGCCTGGTTCGCCTTATCTCGTTGTGCCTTGTGGGCCTCTATACTGGGGCACTGATGTCTGTCGCCCTCTTACTCTTGGAGTGTGTGCAGAGGTTTTAATCCCAAAGGAATGCTCCCTGGCACATCTATCTAGACATCTGTCCACCCAACACGTCCAGGAGCATGTGCAGAGCCAGTCGGCCAAGATGAGCAACACTCAGGAAAACTATCTATATGGAACGGATACAGGCTTCTTTTATTCCCCAAGAATAACAATAGACAACCATTTCCTTAGGATTGACACTGTGTTAGTTCTTACAGGGAATCCAGAGAGAATTTCAAGTGTGTGAGAGCAGTGAGTCTTTTATATGCAAATATCTTGCACTGTTTATATCAAGGGTAGGAGCTTCTGCAAACTGTGGTGTCACTTGTAGATGATCTGGAACAGCCCCTCTCCCAAGCAGCAACAGTTTAAACACTAAAGTGATTCACGGATCTTCTGACTCTTTGGAGTTCAGGCTTTGCAAAGCCTCTCCTAATGAAGGCCCATTGCTGGGGTGCAGTTTTGCACTCTTACCTAAAATAAAGCTTCAACCACCCCAGGAAAAAAAGAATGCGTTTGCTGGCTTGGCTTTTAAGTGTAAAATAGTTCTTTGCATGTGGAAGGTGTTTTGTTGCTCACAGGAAGCATTGCCTGAACTTGAGAGCACACAATGACAGACATTGTAACTGAACTTTATGGCAACATAAGAAAATTAATTCTTGGTTATACCCAAGAGTCAGAAGTTGTGTGAAAATAACCCTAAGCTCCCTTAGTTTATCCGAATGGGACCAGGTGCTTATTAGAGATTTTCAGGCAAATCTGAGTCTCCAAGTGAAATACATAAAGCCATTGAATAAGAGGAAGTGCTGGGCTTCGGGCTGTGTCTTAGCCAATGCTGGGCTGTGTTAGAAAGTGCTGGACCTCGGGCTATAGCGTAGCCAGTGTAGAGATGTGTTCATTAAGTTCATCCCACGTGCTCATAAATCTTCACTATCTCTGTGTAAAGATTTTAGTTTTCTTTTTAATCCTTTTATCCCAAGTTCTCCTTCACACAGGGGAGATGTGTTGTAAGTCAGTGGTATTTACCATACCACAGTTACTTTTACATATACTTCAGGCTTGATATATATGGTGACTATTTTTATCATTTAGTCGAAACTTAGTGTTTATTATTGTCTGGGGATTAAAGCACCATAGGGTCTCTGTTCATATGCATATATGAGTGCCTCCCGCATGTACATATTTTATTCTGGCTTCTGGAATTTGTTCCGTTAAATGGAAGCAAACCGGGAACATGATTGTGGAGGAATAAACAATGAGTTTGGGAAGAATCACAGTCTTCTCACCTTGGCTGTCCTCAGGTCCTTGTGATATTAGATAGCAGTATAGTTTCTGTTAAAATTACAAAAAAAAAAATGCTTTGTAAAATATAATACCACTATTCGTTTTTATAGAACCGATCAGACGTGGAATATTGTATTTTTGTCTTCTTGCTATCTTATTTAGATATCAGATGGAAAAATAAGTTCTGGGGGAAGTCGATGGAGATCCTGCCGGTTGGAACCCTGAATGTTATGCTTCCAAAGTAGGTTGCCCTCCTCCACTCTCAGGCTTCTGCTCTCCCAGAACAAGTTGGTGCGCGGGAAGGTTGAAAGAGTCCATTTCCCTGGATACTCAAAGTCTCTGATATCTTCAGCACGATTTTTTCACTATGGACTCCCACAAGAACTAATAACCTTTGCCTATGTGCAACAGCTTCCTGCTTCTGTCCGGCCTCCTTCTTCTGATCAGCCCAGAGCTGCCATGTTCTCGCCATCATATTAATCTACGTTTTTGTTAGCAAGCTCACCCTTTATCCATTTCTTTTTTATCCTGTTTATAATTTCACCTGTACATCTATCGTGCTTAGATAAAGGATCTATTTTAAGTTCCTAAGTTATTTAGAAGTAAGTAATGATGGAATCCTTTTATACCATAGTCTGTATAAAAAGACTTAGAAGAGATAGACTATATTTTTAAATTGCTTGGTTTGTGTTGAGGACAAAGATATGATTTTGTTGTTTTTTGCTTGTCTGGTTGATTTGGGTTTCATCTGTTTGGGTGGGATGTGCTGGGGTGGGGAGCTAAAGAGATGGCTTGGTATATAAAAGCACTTCGGCACAAATGAGAGGACCTGAGTTAGAATCCCCAGAAGCCATATACCTAGCATGAGTGTCTGTGATCCAGCGCTGCTGTGAGAAGATAGGAGGTGGAGACGGGAGAATCCTCAGAAAACGCAGGCCAGCCGCCCTGCAGTATGCAGCAGAGAAACAACAGAGTGAGCCTGTCTCTAAGCGGAAGACAAAGACCAAAGCCTAAGGCTACCCTCCACACGCATGCATACACACACACACACATGCGCACGCGCGCGCACACACACACACACACACACACACATACGTACACGAATGCGCACATGTGCATACACAGTCAGCTGATGAATTGGATATGGGAAAAGGCAAGACAGAAGAGATAAACATCCAGTCAGTGAAAAGTCATGAGGATACCATCTTCCCTGGTGTCTCTAATACCCATATCATACCAGCTGGGCCCGAGAAGTATTTTATTTCATTATGAAATATAATTGTACTTGAAAATATACATAATGCATACGCTTCCATCTGATTTGTGCTGGTGCCATCCCATTGCTTGGCAGAAATTCTGTACCTCGTTCCCCAGAATATACACTGGATTTGTGCCATAAATATGCTTGTTCACCTTCTTGTCTTTTTCCTAAAGAATGGCTCCGTCCGTCTTCTTAACTTTTATTATGACAGTGTCATCTTCTTGGCTTTTATTATGACAGTGTACTATGAGAGCATTCTGAGAGTAATCGTTCTCAAATGTGTATCTGATTAAGCTTCTTTCCTCCAATCCGCCCACAAATACTCTCATCACCTGCCAGTAAATGTAGACTCTTTGGAAGGTCACTAAGTGCCTTCCCTGCCCTCTTTATGATCTGGAACATACCATTGGCAGGGCCCCCAACGCCAGGTTCTCTTGGCCCTTGTGTCTTATAGATACACCCCTCATACACAGTGCCCACTTCCACACTACAAACCACAAGCCTCATCTGGTGTGTCTTGCTTGATGATCACTCCATATTACTGCAAAGCTAAGGATGACCCCCCCTCTGTCCTCGTGACACTTTGCTCATTTGTAGATAGTAACCTTCGTGATACTTGACTTTTTTGAGTATTTCCTTACATGTCACTATGCCCCTAGCATACTCTCAGCCCCAGAGGAGCACGAAAGAGGCATTGTTGAACTTAGTGGCTTTTTAGCATGACAGAGAACACGTCATTATTCCTTAAGTAAAGGGATCGTGTCATGCATATTTATGACTGCACAGTAGTTTTTAAGGAATGAGGGGACGTGAGGGGAAAGGAAGTTTTACCCAAAGATTATTCTCACCTGTAGGACCAGTAATCTATCTGTGTCTACTGCTTTTGATCAGTGCTGTGTCCTCTGTAGGTATGGAGATTACTATGTGTGGAACAAAGTCACCACGTGTATACACAACATCCTCAGTGGGAGAAGATGGATCGAGCATTATGGCGAAGTGACCATTAGAAATACCAAAAGCAGTGTTTGCCTCTGCAAACTCACATTTGTCAAGGTAAGAAGCGCCGTAGAACAGGAGAGGAAGGACCACATGGAATGCTTCCCGAGGAAGAAATTGAAGGAGATCTGCCCTGTGTCATGTCTTAGGGCATTTACACAAGAAAGCACAATTGCTTGAGGGATCTAAATTTCTGGATTTGTGGAGGTCAGAAATACCATGGCAAAGGAGAAATAAGTTTCTTTTTAAGGAATCTTGTTTTTACATAGCCAACAAGGACACTAAGTAAAATTCTAGAACACATTTCATTCCTATACTGAGTTCTGTAGTTTCTGTTAATGCCTGATTACAATATAAATACATTTATGTGACCATATGTAGGGTTCTGATTCTAATACAGTTGTCAATTCTTGAAAACACTGAGCAGAGCCATGGAGATGGTAGCCGCAGTCACTCCAAACTCATCTAAGGCTGCTCTGTAGCCATCCAGACTGGGCCAGGAGAAAGCACTGCTTTTGTTTGCTAGAGAAAAGGTTATGAAAAGAAATGCCCCTTGGAGCACCGTTTCCCTGAGTAACGCTGGTCTGAAGGAGAAAGACAACACACGCACACACCGTGTTTGTTTAACTACCTTGCAGCGTTTGCCAATTCTTTTGATATCATGTCCAGCTGAAGTTCATTAAGATCCATGAGCCAAGGGAGAGTATCTGAAGACAAAAACCACTAGCCTGTGAGTTAATATTGGGTTCTTCAGCTAACAATTAGCCTGGAGCTAGAGATTGACATGCTATCATGCTGTGTGGCATGGAGCAGAAGTTTGTGTGTGTGTGTGTGTGTGTGTGTGTGTGTGTGTGTGTGTGTGTTGGTACTGGGAATCAAATCCAGGGCCTTGCCCGTGGTAAGCCAGTGCTCAGACTATCCACTGCTTAGAAATTAATCTAGGCAGTTACTGTGGCGCTCCACTAATCCCAGCACGTGCGACTCTGAGGTAGAAGGACTGTGAGTTTTGTGCCAACCTGGGCTACACGCGAAGTTCCATGCCAACTTAAACTACGTTAGTGAGACGCTATCGAGATAGAAAAGCAAGAAAAGCCACCTTCCATGAGCGTGCAATGCGCTGAGCTGCATTTCAGGGGGAAAGAACGGTTTGCACATGGACAGGGCAGGTTGGTGTTACTAAAGCGCTGGGGTTGCTTGTTTCCCAGGTGAATTATTGGAACTCCAACGTGAATGAAGTCCAGGGCGTGGTAATAGACCAGGAAGGGAAGGTGGTGCACCGGCTCTTTGGGAAGTGGCATGAAGGACTCTACTGCGGGGTGGCCCCCTCTGCGAAGTGCATCTGGAGACCAGGTGAGACCGCCTGAGCTTCTGGGTCAGGAGGCAGTGGGGGGGGGGGGGGGGGCGAAGCAGGGGCGGACCATGCATTTGCCTTGCATTTCCTTTTGATAGTGAAATCTAAAATGTAAATGCTCAAGGTCATCACAGTTATATTTACACCCCACAAATAAGGTATATGTAAAATCCACCATTTGATCCTTGGTAATTAACAAATGGACCGAATCAGTGCCATGCAGTAAACTGGCCTGCTCAAATCTGCCATGGGGAATTGATTTAAACATAATCTATACATGCAAATGTTAGGTGCTCTAAACAAAGAGTTTAAATAACCGAAACACATAAGCAAGGCCTTGTTCATCTTTACTTTTTAAATAAAACAAAGGAAATACAATGTCTGCAACCCTAAATCCAGTAACTTGCCACAGTAGTGAGCTTTTTTACTTAAGCAGAAAAGCTGCCACATGCTGGCGCTTCACCAAAGGCATCAGCACAGCCAGGCACTACATTAGCACATAACGGAAAATACAGTGTAAGTGGCCAAAAAATTCTCCATGTGACATCTGTTTCCACTGGAATTTGTTAGGTACTCTGCAACTTTTAAAAATAGTTGTTGGTGTCCTAAGGACACTGTTTTAAATGTTTATAAATTTCCTGCTGGTGCCAGGCATGGGGGCGCACACCTTTAATCCGAGCACCCAAGAGGCAGAGGCAGGCAGATCTCTGTGTGTTCCAGGACAGCCAGGGCTACACAGAGAAACCCTGTCTAAAAAAAAAAAATCCTGCAGGTACAGTGGTTAGTTCATGTGTTGTTAGTTCATGTGTTGTTAGTAACTACTTACTGAGTATTGGCCATGCACCAGCCTTGCTCTAGGAGGCTGAACTACTTCAGTAAGCAAAGCAAACACAGATTCCACCTTAGAATACACTGATAAGCATGATATGAGGTCGGGGTGTAAAGCAGTGGTGGGGCACTTCCTAGCATAAGTGAGGTTCTGGGTACCAAGTCTTACTCACAGCCTGGGGCAATGGTGCATGTCTGCGGTCCTTGCACTTGGTGCCCTGAAATAGGAGGGTTGCTAGAACCCAGGAGTTCACAACCAACTTGGAGAGCAAGATGAGCTGTTAGGGAAAAGAAGGGTGGAAGGGAAAGTAGGATGGGGGAGTGGGCTGCTGGAGGGATGGGCTGGTGGGTGGGTCAGCGCGTGGATGGATGGATGGATGGATGGATGCCTCAACAGATAGATGGATGGATGGATCTCAGGGCTGGCAAGATAGCAGCAGGTTAAAGGTGCTCGCCCCCAAACCTAACAACCTGAGTTTAGTCCTACAAATTGTCTTCTGTCCTCTGACCTCTGCACACTTGCTGTAGCTCAAACTGTGTGTGTGTGTGTGTGTGTGTGTGTGTGTGTGTGTGTGTTTGTACAAATTGTTACGATGGAATAAAATGAAAGAGCTCTAAAGGTCCCTCCTGCCAAGACTGAATTCAACCCCTGAAATCCACATGGTAGTAAAAGAAATCACCGGGGCTGGAGAGATGGCTTGGCGGTTAAGAGTACTCGCTGCTTCTCCAGAGGACTGGATCATTCTCAGTATCCATGGGGGGTTGCTCACAACTGCCTGCACTGTCTGCACCTCCAGCCTCAAGGGTTCCCACATTCTCTTCTGGACTCTGTGGGTACACCCCCCCATGCATCATATTTCCCTGAGACACACATACATTAAAAAAAAAATAAGATTTGATAAGAACAGACAAAACTGAGCCAAAGAAAAAAGTCAAGCATTGGTGTTTCTCTCCTCTCTCTCTCTCTCTCTCTCTCTCTCTCACACACACACACACACACAAAAAAAACAACAAATGTTAAAATAATTTTTAAATGTTTTAAACGACTACTAATAAAAATTTCCATCTGCATCTTTTTAATGAGGAAGTCCATGAGAGGGGCTTCTCATGAAATTTCCACGTTTGTATTAACTAACCTGGTCTCTAGTTACCTAATGGAATATGTGAGAGGAAAATTCTGTGTTTGGCCAACGAAGACTACTAATGTAATGCAAGGTTTTATTTAAAGGCAGGGTTTTATTAAATGTGTTAATCTCTTAATTCTGACCGTCAACATAAACTTTCTCACCTAGCAAATTAGCAACAGTTCGATTACTCGAAAGGAAACCATGATGTTGCATTCGTGAGTTCGAAGCCCGTTTGGAAGCTGGGCTCACTTTAAGTGCTCTTCCTGAGTGGGCTCCTCCCCTTGCCGCCTGCCTCCCACACTCAGCTGCTCTCTGCCTCCCTCCAGGCTCGCTGCCAACCAACTACGAGCTCTACTATGGCTTCACGAGGTTCGCTGTGGAGCTCAATGAGTTGGATCCTGTGCTGAAGGACCTCCTTCCTCCCACGGATGCCCGATTCCGGCCAGATCAAAGGTCAGGGTTGCTGCAGGGTTTCTGCTCCATCCTAGAAGACAACATGGGTGTCAGAGGTTGTTGGGACTCTTCTCTCCATCGCTTGTCTGCTCTCCATGCATTCTTTCATCCCCGTATTCCCTCAGAAATGCCTGAGTTTCCTGCCCTGGGCAAAATGGCATTTGTAGGGATGTTATAACAGAAACTTATTGGACAGTGGCAGGGATCGTCTGTACAGTTACCAAATGTCTTAACACGCAGCTGGTCACTAGCGAATCGTGCCTTGCCCTGGAGCTTTGGCCTCTTTACACACACTGCCCTATAACATGGAGTGTCCTTTGAGTGACAGGAATACCTGGAGGTGACCTAACTGAAACTCAGCCCCATACCTTAGTCCCAGAGGCTGTGGAATTGTACTCAAACTACCGAATTCATCATTTTTTGTTCTTTGTATGTGATCACAATGTCCACTTCTACAGAATTCATTTCCCCTAAATTTCTCTATGTCACCTGCGTTCCCATGTATGTGTGGAGGTTTTTTCCCCCTCCTAAAATGTTTTGGTATGACTTTCACTTCATTCTATTCCACATATGATTCCCCACTAAAAATTGCAGTTGATGGTACTCCCAGAGCGTGTGTCTCACTGATTGACATTTAATTTCATCAATTAACCTTGTGCAACATATATTGTATATGCCTACTCTCCTTTGCCCTTGTTTTGAAATGTAAAGGTGTGTGTGTGTGTGTGTGTGTGTGTGTGTGTCTGTGTGTATGTCTGCTGGTGGCAATCCAACCAAAGGCCTTGTGTGTGTTTAGCAAGCTCCTGTCCACATGCCAGCCACACATGTAAATATTCACAGATCATCATTGGGTCCGTGTTCACCTTCTCAGTTGTTCTCAGGATACCTTCTTTTTCATACCTGATGTTCTCCAGTAAAGGAGGAAAGTTCCTTGTCTCTCAGTCTGCCTCCGAATAGAGAGCAGCCGGTCCCCATCCAGCACCCACAGCCTTGAACAAACACATTTGGCACTAGGACACATAAAGAACCCAGCCTGTGACTTCATGTGGCTCTTACCCTGGACTGTCATTCTCCAAAAAACGATCTGAAGTTGTAGAACTCCAGACAACACAGAGAAGTGTTCCAGGCCAAACCACTAACCTGCCCTCTTATCATACCACTGTGGTCCTGGATGTAGTGATTCAATCCACACGTACAGAAACTATATTAATTAATGGACAGACTGAGGACATATGGCCTGGGACAGGTGAAGGGGCAGCAGCAATGTCACCGCTGTTCAGGATGTCATATTCTCAGCAGCCAGCAGGTAATTTTCCTTCTAAAAGATGCTAACATTGGGATACCAACTGTATTCTTCTTAGATTTTTGGAAGAGGGAAACTTAGAAGCCGCAGCCGCCGAGAAACAAAGAGTTGAGGAACTCCAGAGATCCCGAAGACGGTACATGGAGGAAAACAACCTGGAACATATACCAAAATTTTTTAAGTAAGTCAACCGTTCCTACAGTAAGTTCATGTTTTACTAAAGTTTGCCACAGACCGTGAGAAAAAATGGGCTGCAGCACATCCAAGGACTTAAGCTGATTTGGGTTACTTTATGCTGGACAGGGAAACGCTGAATCGGATCTTGCGTGTGTAAAAGTTAGTTGCCGTAACGAGCAGTTGTTCTCGGTGGGCCTTTTCTCTCTGTGGTCTGTGAGATAGAGAGAAGCTCACCAAAAAGCGTTGTTCCTTTATCGGGACCCTTTGGAGTGACAGAACTGTGTTCCCTTTCCTCAGTTAGCAGTGCTTGGGATTCTACTCCCAAGGGCACCATGACTCCATTAGGACTTAATTTTATTTCTGTAACACAGAGCTTGTTTCTGCTCATATTTAGCCCCACTGTGGCAGGATCAAAGAGGATTGCTACAGGATTATTTAACGGATTATATAATCATCATGGAGATGACGCTGAAGTTTCCAGATCCATCATCTGTCATCCTCCTGAGCATGCGCAGAAAAGCTCAGGGCAACACCCTCCCCTTTAGAGCTGTCATCTCATGATCATCCTGTGGTGGAAGTGCAGACTTGCCATTCAGAGATCTGTAGTGTCCCCTTCAGGTCTGCAGTGTGCCCTTCGGGGCTGCAGTGTGCCCTTCAGGGCTGCAGTGTGCCATTCAGAGTTGCATTTTATCCTTCAGGACTGCAATGTGCCCTTCAGGACTGCAGTGTGCCCTACAGGTCTGCAGTGTGCCCTTCAGGGCTGCAGTGTGCATTTAGGGCTGCAGTGTGCCCTTCAGGGCTGCAGTGTGCCCTACGGAGCTGCAGTGTGCCCTTCAGGGCTGCAGTGTGCCCTTTAGGACTGCAGTATACATTCAGGGCTGCAGTGTACATTCAGGGTTGCAGTGTGCCCTACGGGTTTGCAGTGTGCATTCAGGGCTGCAGTGTCCCCTTCAGGGCTGCAGTGCCCTTCAGAGCTGCAGTGTGCCCTAGGTTTGCAGTGTGCCCTAGGTCTGCAGTGTGCATTCAGGTCTGCAGTGTTCCCTCAGGGATGCAGTGTGCCCTTCAGGTCTGGAGTGTGCCCTTCAAAGATCTGCAGTGTTCCTTTCAGAGCTATAGTGTGCCCTTCAGGTCTGGAGTGTGTCCTTCAGAGGTCTGTAGTGTGCCCTTCAGGTGGGCAGTGTGCATTCAGGTCTGCATTGTGCCCTTCAGGACTGCAGTGTTCCCTCAGGGCTGCAGTGTTCCCTCAGGTCTGCATTGTGCCCTTCAGGGCTGCAGTGTGTCCTTCAGGGTTGCAGTGTGTCCTTCAGGGCTGCAGTGTGCATTCAGGGCTGCAGTGTGACCTTCAGGGATGCAGTGTGACCTTCAGGGATGCAGTGTGCATTCATGGCTGCAGTGTGTCCTTCAGGGTTGCAGTGTGCCCTTCAGGGCTGCAGTGTGTCCTTCAGGGATGCAGTGTGCATTCAGGGCTGCAGCGTGCCCTTCAGGGCTGCAGCGTGCCCTTCAGGGCTACAGTGTGCATTCAGGGCTGCAGTGTGTCCTTCAGGGTTGCAGTGTGCCCTTCATGGCTGCAGTGTGTCCTTTAGGGCTCCAGTGTGACTTCAGGGCTGCAGTGTGCCTTTCAGGGCTGCAGTGTATATTCAGGGCTGCAGTGTGCCCTTCAGGGCCATAGAGTGCCCTCCAGACATGGTGTCATGAAGGCTTTTGCAACTTCTGATATTGAATCTAAAGATTTATGTAACTTAGATTTATATAGTTCCTGGGAGGAAGCTCTTCCTTATAGTACTTACAGTGCCGTGTTTGGGCCTCCATGCTGTCTCCCCTTACCCAGAGGTAATTAGAGGTAATTAGTTCCTGCCCTTTGTCTTTTCCTTCTTGCTTTCATTTCAATCATTTAATGACATCAGTTTCTTTATTTCTGGCCAGGCATTGCTAGCTTATCAATTGTTGGCAGATAGCACACTAACTATATTATATACTGCACTGTATATATTATATCTGCATACACACACACACACACACACACACATATGAGAGAGTTGAGTTCTCATCTGACCTTGATGTAATTTGTGTCTAATGTTGGTTTTCATATTTCCACAGAAAAGTAATTGATGCAAATCAAAGAGAAGCCTGGGTTTCTAATGACACCTACTGGGAGCTTCGGAAGGACCCTGGGTTTAGCAAAGTAGACAGCCCTGTACTGTGGTGAACTGGAGACGTAGAGGTAGCTAACATACCACACTCCGGATGAATAAATAACTATGCACAATTACGTTTCTTATAGCTGCGCGTGGTTTCTGGGTCGACTGAAAACCTCCCATTTGCTTTTCTATTCATCTTTATAATGGATTTTCAAAAGTGCATTAGACAAGGCTCCTAACCACTTTTGGATCCTTTCTGTTTTGCTGCAACCATATTCCTTAAAAAGTAAAACACAATTAAAAGAGAAAAGAAAAGAAAACCCATGCCCTCCTCGGAAAGCAGACTGAAAGAAGGGGAGTATAAAATCCAAGGCAGAGGAGCTGGTCAGGAAGATCACACTGTAACCGGTGCTTCGCGCGGATGGGGGGAGTGTAAAATGACGTACCGCTACACGCTTGGTCTGCTGGCTGAAAGCGTCATCCCCTACCTTAGAGCTCCTGGGCCGGAGCGGTCGGTTAGTTCAGCCCCAAAGTGTTTTTCGATGTGGTGTGCTTGTACCAGCCTCGTCAAAATAGACGTGATGCTTCCGGAAACCCATCCCATCTTTACATTGTTCATGCCTTAAGAAATGCAAAGATGTACAATAAACCATTTTTTTAAAATGTGTGCTCCTAGGTGTATGTGAAGGACAGATCATTAGAATCCTGGGGTGGATTCACTTTCTCCGTCAGAACATTGATTCAGCTGATATAAGAAGATTAAGTAAGGAAAAACCTATTTTCCTTTGTTAAGCGAGTTACCGTGTGGTGGATCTGAAGGGCAAGAGGGCTAAGGGATGGTACTCTAAGGTCTCTGCATCCAGGTTGCTCTTTAAGTATTCATCCTGTGTCCAGATAGTAAACCATCCACCCTCCATCTGACCTCACAGTGTGCCCTAGCATTTGGCAATGCTGTATTTTATTTGGATACCTGTCATCAGTGTTAAAACTTCATTAGGAAGTAACAGACGTTTGGGGCTTCTGCCTGGGCCGGGTGGTACCATGAAGTACTGCTTTTGAGTGGCACACGAGGCCATACAGCACATCCCTGACTCATGCCCACTCCTTGGCACGGTTCAGATTCCACAGAGAACAAAAGCTTATTTGCATTATGTAAATGGATCCTATGCAAATCATCTTCCTTTTCTAAAGTCAAGCAATTCCATATGATACATGGTTACATATTAATCATCTACCTTGCTAAGGGCAGAAATAAAAAACTTGGCTAAAAGAAATTTATCCATTCCAAAGGTGGGGGTGGGCAAGCTGTGTTTTGAATTTTTCAGGTTTTGTTTTTCCTCCACGGGTACACAGACGTTTTTGTAGGAAGCTTGCATTAGCATTCCTAAGTTCCTGCACGTACATGACTCTATAAATGCCTGTATGTTTAAAAACTAAAACTCGGTAGGGGGGCTTCCTAGTGAATTAGAAAATTACTTATATTTTATTGTCAGAGTTTTATTCTTAGATTCTCGCCATCTGAATTTAAGTGTTATTTTAGACTCTGATAACAAGGTTAGTGACATTTTATATTTTGTTAAGAGGCACCAATTTTGGTGTTATTTCTCCTCAGCAAAGCATTTCAGATAATGGCTAATTCACCATTAAACCCAAAGCTGCTGCTGAGAACACGGAGGCGAACTCAGAAGTTCCAGTCTATTTTAATTATCCTAACGTTCTTCTTGCGTCTAAGTCCATGCATCGTGTTCACAGCTGGCACTCATTAGAATGGACTCTCGCTCCCTCTAAGTTCCCTGAATCCGCCAGGGCTGAGCTTCGGCTTACATGGCCCTCTCTTTGCACTCGCTCCTCGATTTTGAACTCCTGTGTGAAATCTTAGGTGGTTTGCCTCGCAATTGTCAGATCTTCCACTTGTCATGGACTATTTTTTTTTTTACTTCATTCAAGCTAATGTCCTTTTATCTGCGCACCTTCTTTCATGTCTAAATATAATGTGAATTAGGACCTAATTAGAATCCTATTGGCTTCCTCACAGAAATTGGTCCTCCCTTGGTGGAGCTTACAGTACGATTGAAAATGGGTCTCACCTGTACTTAGGGGTGTTTGCTAAAACTGCCTCACAGTGACTAGGTAAGAAAAGAACCCTGCAGAAGACAGGTGTGCCTAGGAGGGACTGGGGAGCTGAGCTGATCCAAAGAGGAGAGGGGCTGCCAGTTTAACAAGTGGAGGAAGACCGGGAGCCACCAGGGAAGAAATGACTGTGCCCAGGGCTTGTGTTATCTAAGAAGGAGGGAGAAACAGGAGGTAAGGCCTTCGCTGGATATATAGTATGGTTAGATGCCAAGTACAGACAGAAAAGGATGGTCAGGTCCTGCCCTGAAACTAATTTGGGTTTCAAGATGAAAATGAGGGGCGTGTCCTGTTCATTACAGTCGCGTGTTGCCGTATCCTCCATTTTGAATCTGTTTTGAGATCCCGATTTCCAAATTGTGACCATCCAGTCCTTGGTTAGGCTGCAGGTTTTCTGTAACACCCGATTAGCTCACCTCCCAAGGGAACACTCGCTTGTGTTGTTGTCACGGCCCCATCCCTCCTTGTCTTCACACCGTGGTTAAAAAGTTATAGCCCCATTGGAACGTCACTCACATAACATTCCGGCTTCTGAAGCTAAACAGTGAAAGGAGAGACTGTTAGCTTATTCTCCTGATAAAACATGATGTATTCCTTGGAACTTTACATAAATCTTTAGATTTGGGAGGGCCTTACTGTTTTGCTTTTCATTACAAAGATCTAGGAGGGCTTGGTATGTCTGTGTTCTTCTCCCATGCTTTACTGCCAAGCTCTCTCCCCTCCGGAGAGATGGCCATCAGTAAAGGCAGTAATTGGTGACAGTAGCCTGAGGGCTTGCCCAGACCGAACTGATCAATGGTACACGCCAGCGTTCGCAGAGGCTCACCGAAAACCATTTGATGCTCAGTGCTGCTAACCAAGGTGCAAGCTCCCTCTTCAGTGTTGCTGATGTTTGATTATTTTTAATCGTCATTATTTTTCATGGATTACTTTAAAACACTGTCTGGTAGTTGTAAAAAAACGAAAACTTCATTTAAGATACCTTGTCATTATCACGCCAGTTGTGCGTGAGAGCAGGGACTAAATGTAATTCTCTGGCTGAGGGAAACCAAGGAATTTTTGGTACAAAGGATGCCAAATTGTCAATTTCCCAAACCTTTTGTGCTCTGGCCTTGTGTTTTTCTGCATGACCCCTTACCAGTCCCAAGGAGCTTGGAGAGGGAGGAAAGTTACCTGGAAGAAAACCTGATTAGCCTGTTTTGCTTAATACTAAAGAGCATTTTTGTTACTTTTCTGTGGGTTCGATTATCCATCTTGTCTGCTGCTGTTCTCTGTCATCCTAGATACTGGAGCGTTTGTGGCAGCCGAGCTCCACACACCACGGTGTGTATCAGATGTTTGCACTTGGCTCAGTGTGTTATGAATGTGGTACAGTAAATACAGTTTGTGTACAAAATATTAGTTTATTTCTATGAGAGCAATTATGTTCGGGATATATAAAATGTATCTAATTAAACCATTATGAATCCATTTTGTGCTCTAGAATGTTCTTTGGGGGAAATATGAGGGGGGAATGTGTCCGTAGAACTGAGGAAAATGTCGTTTTGTTTTTGTGGCTTTTTGGCCCCAAGGCTCCATGGATTTTGTGAAAGACTATTTACCACACCAGGATTCTATCTTTGTTGAGTTTCTTTTGTAAAATGTATACTTTGAAAGCTGTGCATTGCGTGACACTTTCCCAAGCAAAAACTAGCTTTGTTAACATCATCTTCAGAACTCTTACTGAGACGGAAAACCTTCTGGCAGCATCTGCTTTCAGGAGCATGGCGAGTTGTCTAAGAAGGATGTGCCTTCATTCTTCTAAACCGGGATCTAAGAGATGAAATGTCTTTTAAATCGCTGTGGTGTGACATGCCGCACACATGAGTAGATAGGGCTCTGTGCTACAGGCAGTGGTTGTGAGGGAACTTGGTGTTGAACTCTTCCGTTGGTTTTTCAAGGTGACAAACTTGTCTCTCTAACCTCTGGTCCTAACATGGTGAAAGAGGGGATCCCTGTTTCTATTGTTTGGCACCATGCCATTGCTTGTGAAACAGGCCATGTTTGTGCTGGAATTTCAGTCATTCAGTATTAGAAACTACTTCATTCCCTTTCCTCTTGAACAGTATTCTTCACGAGTTAAAATTTCCATATCAACATGTATTACTAGTTGTTTTCCAGGCTGGTAGGAAAAAGAGTAACCAAAAGTTCCTGGTTTCCATAAATTTTGCTGCTATTTATACCTCCCTTCTAAAACATGAGTTCAGTGTATAGGAAAGGATATCAAATCTTTGGTCTGATAATGTGGAGTCCTCCTTGGGATCCACCTGCTCCTTCTATCTGTCATGTTAGACGGAGTCAGCAACTGAACCGAATACTGTTAAAGAGGGAATGACGCTCAAATCACTGTTCCTGCCGTGGGCCTGCTCTCCCTTGATTTTTCATCTTCAGGAATAAAAGTGTTTGCTATTGGCACTGTACCGCCTGACACATGTTGGCTGCAGACACCGTGACACCACCATGACAGTCACAGTAGTGAACATATCCATTACCCTCAGAGGTTTTGGGGTGTGTAATCTTTTCCTCCCCCACTCAGGAGCAATTCTTGGTCTGCTGTTATTGTTGCTTTTTAAAATTAAAGTTTGCATACTTTCTTGTGTTTATAGTGTAGAAGACTGGGGTGTGGGGCGGCTGTATACATGCCTGCCAACTCCTCCCATGACATCACCACTCAGACAAGCTTCAATACCTTACAAGAGAAGATGACCCCACTCGATTCTGGTTCTGGTAACCCAGTAGACATCATAGATTTGCTTAGAAAACTATTTTTTTCATAGCAAGATAACCATGTAGCATAGAAGCATAGTTTTCAGGCTTTGAGAGTGCAGGGTTGCGATCAGATTGGTGGGGGACAAGGAATCGGATAGAGGAAGACCTCAAAGGCATTGATTGTCCTCTATCGTGTGATGAAGGAAGCTGAGGAAGCTGTGGGACTCCAGAGTGACAGCTTTGATAATGATGAAGCTGATGGAGGCAGAGACGCTTTTGCGGGCCTGTTTGTCTGTTATTCACTTTGCTTGTATGTGACATCGTACAAAGTAAACTTAACTTTAAGCTTATACACAAAACATGAAATTGTGTATGTAAATGAAGGGTCTAGTGACGTTTTCGATCTATGTATATGACATGTCATGTTCCAGGCAGGTTAAGCAGTTCTGTCTTTTCTAACATTCTCAATCTGTCAATGGTAGACACTTCCAAAACCTGTTCTTTGGGGATTCTGAACTATTCCATGCATTACTGGGTGCTCATGACCATTTGAAACTTCCATTGTTCCCGAAGTGTGTGTATTCTGAATGCCCTTACTCCTCATCTGGAAACAAAGAATTAATCTGGTTTTGTAAAGGAAATGGAAAGCAAGTGTCCTAGTACCTAGTGATCTCCCACCGGGCAGGCCTTCATCACCCCCAGATCCTGTTACTGGAAAGTAGGAAAGTTCCCAGAGGTCATCTGATACAGCAGGAGGGTTTTTTGTTTTTGTTTTTGTTTTTTTTTATGACATGTTCTCACTGTGTAGCCTGGCCTTGCTTAGAGCTCACAGAGTCTGCCTGCCTCTGACAGGATTTAACAGTTACACAGTTGGGATTAACACTGTGTACCTCATGCCCAGCAAACACAGCATGATTAGCATTGGGCTCTGCAGCAGAAGGAAAGGAAAGAATAGCAAAAAGGGAAGTGGGATATAGCAGGGGGACGTTTGGTCTCCTAAGTGGTAAAGATGTTCTTCAGAAGTGTGGGTAGGTCCCAGCTGGATCACAAGTCATCTTGGATGCTTGATTTCAATTCCTGAGTTGTTCTCTGAAAACTCCGCCTTGGACTAAAAAGGCACCCAATCCATCCCCAGGAAGTTTGAAGGACACGTGGGATGAGACCTCCTCCCACCCCGCAAAGCTTTATCCTTGCCTCAGCACCAGCTTTCTCTGTAGCTCTGATAGTAGCAATCTGGTGTCAGTGGGAAAGTCTTAGTCAAGGACCAAAACCAAGGCCTGGGATGTCCATCAGTGGTAGAACACTTGCCTGGCCCGTGCAAGTCCCTGGGTCCTGTCCCCAGCTGAGCAAATGAGGGCACACTTTGGCAGGTGAGCAGAGCACACATATGCACATAGATGAGAACGCTGCTTTGTTACTCTGTCTTTGATGCCTGCCTAACATCATCACGGTGGTAAGGAGGGCAACACACTGAAATCTAGAAGACCATGGGTGTTAGCATCCGAGTACGTTGGTGGAGGCAGCCTCAGCAGCCGGATAACCAAAAACTGACTCAATAACTGGAACCCATCCCTGCTTCATCCAGGCCTGGTCTGCATCTCTCAGGGGCTTCTCGGTGGACTGACAGGATTCCTGGCTTGGAAGAAAGTTGAAGGGAATTCCTTCCACAAAGCTGGGTCCTGAGATCCCAGCGGACAATCTCAGAGCAAAGTTAACAGCTCAATCTTTACCTAGATGGGCTTCCTCCCTGAGAGGGACTCCTGTTGGAAGAAACTTCGACCTAAAATTGTTGTGCTTATATCTGAAGGCATAAAGATAGTGGCCCTGTACTATTTAGAGATTTGGTCACCTTCAGTGAGAAAAGCTACCTTAATTTTACAAATAGAATACCAACCAATGTCTAGCAGAATAAAGATTTCCTAACAATGGTAATTCACGGGGGAGGGGGGCATTAAAAAGATTGTCTGTAACCACTCAGAATAACAACCATGCCTCTTCAAGGCTGTATACAAGAATGTTACATTTGGAACAACCCAGGAAAATCAAATAATTTTAAATAAATCATATAAAGAGATTCGTGTGCTATTCTGATGACTTCTTCAAAAAAGTACTGTTCACCCAAATCACTAGTTGCATATTCACCACCTCCAAAAGAGACTTCAGCGACACCAGAGGAGATTCAGAACGCACTCCGACTGCATTTCCAGGTCTTTTCATGGAGTAGCTGCACATCCAAGTCAGATGCTAGCAAAAGACATTCTCCTGAATTCAGAGCTTTATACTAAGAGACTTAGTGGTCTGGCTTCAGTTCTCCTTTTTTTTTTTTTCCTTTAGATTCTAGAAGTAAAGCGTAATCCCACAAAGATTGTGGGAAACTCACAATGTCTGAGGGGAAGGTCATTGCCTATCCCTAGACTCTTGGGCCAACCTGTGGATGCATTTCCATATACCCAGCAGTTGTTCTATTGGAAAGAGGGTTTTTGTGGGGGAACATTTTCTGTTTCTGGTGGAATCAGTTCCCATAAATCAGAGACAGTGTGTCCTGATTAGTCTGTACACATAGGAAGAGTAGGTTCTCAGCAGCCTTGATCACCAAAGCTCTTAATTTCTCTTTTTTTTTAAAGGCAAAAGAAGACACACTTTCATAGAACGTCAAAGAAAGCACCAACTGACCCTGAATCATGAGTGCCTCCAAATCAACGTCTTCCTTTGTCTCCTCATTTCCCCCTCTTGTGTTTGCTTGTTCTTATAGACATGTCTCTGGTAGCCCAGGCTAGCCTGGAACTTGCAATCCTTCAGTATCACACTCTCAAATGTTGGGATTACCGGGATGCACAGCCATGCCTAGGTAATCCAGCTATTTCAAACCCTGGGGGCTTTTCAATAGCCTGGCCCACTATGGTGCATTTATGGAGTGGTACCCAGCCTCATCCCAATACTGTCTGACCACAGAAATGTGAAGACCCTGTGGTATCCGTTGCCAGGGATGATTTCTTTGGCTTCTGCTGAGCAGAAGCTTTAATATGAGTGGCCAGTGTCCTCAGAAGCAGGCTTCCTTGTAACTTTGTTGCCATGCCCCAGAGTCTCTCAGTTCAGAGGGATTGAGGAAATGAAAAACGATACAAAGTTATGGCCCGTAACTTGAAACAAGGATGAGATGTCTCCCTCCCACCTTGCTGTATGTTATAAAAGAATGGGAAATCAAATGGAAAATAAGGAGATGTAGCAGAGGAGGCGGTTTTGCAGTTTGTGATCATTTTAGTGTAATTCTGATGCTGTGATGAAACACCCTGACTACAGTAACGCAGGAAGAGAAGGGTTTATTTCATCTCATTCTTTAGGACATAGCCCATCATTGAGGAGAGTCAGGCCAGGAACGGTGGAGCAATGCTGCTTGCTCTCTTCAAGGTTCAGACTTAGCTAGCTCTCATGTATAACCTAGAAACACGGGGGGGCCCCGCCCATGGATGATCTTGCCCGCAGTGGGCTAGGCCCACCTGCAGTAATTTGTAATCAAAACAACCTCCCGCAGACCAGCCTGATCTAGGCAAACCCTCCACTGAGGATCTCGGATGACCCTAGGCTGGGCTGAGTTGACAGTTAAAGATATCTAGGACAATGATCGTGGTGGCCATAAGTCACCTTGTCCAAATACAAACTCAGGCCGTAGATGACACTCATCCATCTCTGTGAGTGCACCAATGTGGTTCCAGTTTCCCTGA